TTATTCTTTTTAACACTAAATCTTTGGTGATTTGAGTAGCTGAACACTGTAGTTATTTGAAACAAGACTGATATGTCAATGGTGTGACCGGCTAAACGCTCATTACTACTATCTGCTATTTATTGCAATGGAACGAGACTGTGATACAGGCGCTAGAAGTAAGACAAAAGTGTGGAAGGAGACTGATTTATTCACCAATCACTGATTAAATTACGTGTACCATAGTAATCATAAATTACACTTCACTTTTAAATGCAGATACATCCAGCTGACGAGTTCCGAATAGGGCGAAACGCGCGTCCTGGATTCCACTGCTAGCCACTATCCATCTTCGCCTATCACTTTAAATGTTTGGACATTAAATAAATTGGAATGAATTTAACTAGCTGTTAATTAATCATTTAATGCGGGTACCTAATCCGCTTTGCTGAAGCGATTGCGATTAAGAAACTGAAACCGGATTTATGCATTCAAAAAGAGACTTTAATAAACTTATCACTACCCTGGTAATCTTTTTGTTTCTGTTTGTTTTGTGTTTTGGTTATTTTTTCATTTACTTATTCTAAGATATTTTATACTCCCCCCTATTACCTAATTTTTAAAATAAATTTTATTCACACATTTCCACCACCTGATCCTCTTAAATTATCTTAACTTTCCAAATTCTATTTAATTATTGTTACGTAATCTACCTTATCATCATTTAATTTCATTAATCTCTACAATTATCACACAATTTATGAAATTCACTAAATTAATACACCACCCACCCTGGATTAACCCCCCTCTTTTGACCTCTGATCTGTTTCTAGCACATATATATATATATATATATATATATATATATATATATATAGTTATTATTGTAATCCAGTTATTTAAACTCATTTATGTCAATTGTTTTCACACTATCTCCATGTAAAAAAATTCTATCACAATTTTGGTTTGTAAGCAACTGACGAGAAACCTCGAAATAACATGAATTCATACTATTCTGCATCAATGTTTGTTCTTGCTCTATTCAAATAAACAAATAATCAATCTGTCGATTCAACCAGATCACATCTCAACAAAATTTTCATCCATATATGATTGAATATTTTCACAGTAGTCTAACACTGAATGTGTTGGAGATACTCTATGGAAAATCGTATTTGTAAAACTCTCACTGATTGAAATTAGAAAGGACTCCTTTAGTGTGTGCTATTATATCGACATAAGTAGTATATAACGCTAGTCAGGAATAGAATTTCTGGCAACAGAAGGTCAAGAAGATAGAAGAGGAAAGAACGGAAACATAAAGCAATTGGTACGGAAATACATGAACAATGAAGTCTGAGACGATTGACTGATATTTGAAAAAGGAACAGTCAAGTCTGAGACAACTGACTGACATTTTTGCTGTATAGCTCTCAGATTTTACTGACATGTTCTGTAATGTATGAAAATACAATCAATTGTCCTCACTTGTGTTCTTGTTCACTACACTCCTACTATTGTGTTGGCAGTCTAAAGAAATAGTAATACCCGGAAACTTTCCAAAATAAATAGAAATCACAAAATATTGGTTTACTAAATGTCTAGACGTTTATCTGAGAATTTATTTAAGTGTGAATATGTGTTATTTGACTTCAAAATTATCCGGCTAAACTGAAGTATGTTCACAATTCAAATGGTAAGTAATGTAAATTAAATCTACATAAACTGAGTGTAGTTCCGAGATTCATTGAGTCTGTATTCACAGTAAGATAATTTGTTATTTACTTGCCTTTTCTGTTTGCTTACATCGAAATTGTAGAAAACTGATTTCTCAAGCGTTCATTTATTCCCATAGAATTCCCTGTTTTGGAATTGCTCACATTCACTTATTGTATCTATCTATTGCGTATACTACACACCTTTACAAAATTTCTATAAACTATCGCGAATTCAATTATTGAGAAACTCAGGACATATTACTATGTTAGCTCATATACCATTCTCCTCTATTGTCTATTTTACAACCGATGAAATCCATATATCAAATAGAAATCATGTTGTTAAACTTGATACCATGGCAACAAGACTGATTGCAGATATTTACAGATAAGTATTAATGGTAGCTAATCGCTACTTGTAAACATCTTGAACATATTTTTTTTTTCATTTTCACAAATTAAGTGCCCATATAACTGCAATTTGTTATAAGATTTCATATTACGTGCTGACAATTTACTACTTCAATCAAACATATAATTTCGTATAAAGCAAGTATTATTCTTATGTTAGTGCATAAGATGGTGGAGAAGATTTGTAGCTCAGGTGAATGATTTTGGTGGAGTTTTGTTCTCTGAGCTGGATAGTTTGGTCATGGAGCTTTCATCGTTCCTCTGAACAACATCATCAGCACAAACTTCAGATAGAAGTGAAGTGTTCGAATTTCTCCATATGTGTTTCAAATCTTGTTCTGTGCTGATTATGTTAGTGCATGTTTGGTGACTAAAAAAATAATAAGTTTTCTGTCCAACTGGAAATAAATATATTTATGTATTCAGTTCGTAATTCAGAAGTGGTTAATAATCCATCAATGGAAACATTCTATTTCTTTAATCTAAAAGCAGCGAATAACTCATCTGATTTTATATGTGTTATAGCTGAATATGTGATTTCATCCTAATTAATAATCAAAAATGGGTGTAAAATCAATATATAAACCAGTGTACTTTAAACTATTTTGATCACCGTTCGACGTCGTGTTTGTGGCTGATAAATCATTCTTACTTCGCGCCGTGGGGTCCCTCGTTCCCTCGTCCCTCGTTCCGAGTATAAGTCATCAGCGGCTTTTCCGGCACAATAATTGAGACAACTAAACATAACAATATGATTCTTGACATTATCCATACATATATTATTGTAAATCCATTCCTAATAAAATTTGTCTCATTTTCTAATTAAATACAATTTAATGAAGACGAATTATGATAATAACAATAATAATAACCAAATCTCGTAAATACTACATATATCTGGCGTTGTTTTATTTTTAATTTAATGGCTGGTCAAATTGGAAAGTACTTGTGATTTGCTTAGTGACAAAATATAACACTAATTTAAAGAAGTAACCAATATAATTAGTCCGCAGTCTACCGACTTTCGATCCCAATATATTTTATATAAAGAATTCTGTAACCATATTTTTACTTTTTAGAATTAAATAAGATTCCATAAAGCTTATAATAACGATTCATTATAAAGTTTTCTGTTTAACTTACGTAATCTTCACTGTAATCAGAATAGTTTAATGATTGTATGAACCTACTAGTTTTACTTAGAGTGCAGTTGAAAAAGCTTTTGTAAATACAGTTTGAAACTTTTCACTTTCTTCCATTATCTGATACCTTGACTCTTTGTATGTACTAAATGATTCAAATTTCGAAGAAGTACTCAAGTCCAAACTATAATACATAAGGTATTGACTATTTTCCAACCATATATAATGGTTATGTATTAAAATAATCAGCAATAATGGAAAAGATTTAACGTTTTTTATCCTTAATAATGGTAAGCATTGTATTTGGTCCTATATAAGACTTATCAGATGAACGTACCAGAGATCGGTTTGTAAGCAGTATGTAATCTCAAGTTGTTTACAAAATAAAGGGTCAGTAATCTAGTTGGAGGTCAGGTAAATATAATTTGCCATTTGTCATCACTGCATTGACTGTGTGCTTTAAATTTCAGACGTTACACATTCCACATATATTCACTCTAGTTATTGTTATATCATAACCTTTATTTTTTACACACTAATGTAATTATATCGAAAGATTTTGTCAATACAAACCACCGGAGATTGTTCGATTACCATTCCGTTTGGAAAGTCTTAGACAAACCGTCTCCTATTCAAACTGGTGTAGTGAACAGAACACAGGTTAGAACAACCGCATTACTTTTGGCACAAAATTACAGAGCTACTTGGTAAAATAGAAAAAGCATACTCCAATACTCAATTTGCAAAATGATCATTAATTGTCTCAGACCTCATTGTTCCTGTAATTCCACACCAATTACTTTCTATTCCCGTTCTTCCCTTCCTGATCTTCTCAATCTTCTGCTGCCATACATTATATTCCTGAATCGCATATATATTGTATACTACTTATGTCAATATAAGTAGCACAAACTGCACTAGTACCACAATTAGTAACATTATCGCCATAATGACACGGGAGACACATTACAATAATGAAATTCATGCCTCAACACAATCTAACATCTTGATAAAAAAACAGTTGACAAATGATCCTATTTCAGCTAAACTTCTAGAATAATTAATATGCATTATTGTGGGTAGCTGGCCTTTGGAAGATAATCTTTCTAAAATCTTGGGACAGATCACTTCACACAGGACCATAGTTCAGTGGTGCATTTATTTATTAGATAGATGACATTATAAAATAATCATTGAATGCATAGAGACAATTGATTACTCACATTATGAACACATCAGCAATTATACTTGTTTAAGTCACTGCTTCAGTCGTTGCTTGCTAACATATTTGACCTACATTTCATGTCAATCTGTTTTCAGGTATCAAAAAAGGAATCAAATTTGTTCATTGTCCTCACAACTGAATACGTGATCAATCAAATCATCCATTAAATTTCCATCCCTCTTCCTTAGCCCAATCTTCAAGTAACATTCTTTTAAACGAGCACTATGATATAGTGGGTGCTTAAAATTTATTAATCACTTATTAATGTTTTCTGCTTGTTCTCGTTTATCCAAACAACTGTAATTGTTTCTTGAATAAATTACTCCATGAAATAGTAACCAATATCTATGAAATGGATAGAATGTGAAGAACAAAGTTGATCTTGTTTGAACTATATCTCTAAAATTAATTTGACTTGATATATTGTTCACCTAACTGATATTACAAGATTAAGTAGTTTATAAAGCAGTAGAAAATTTTCTTATGATTTAAAATATCTTCATCTTACTTTATCAATCTTTCCAGAATCATTAACAACATCAACAAGGTATTTCGATGGTCAATATTGATATGACCTGGCCAACAACAATAGTTACTGTATCTGGTGAAAAAACAGTATTTGGTCAACGTAGTAGTAGTATAACAGAAAAATCATATCATGACAATATACAAAAAACAATCAATTCATCTATTCAACATGATATTGAAAACTTAAACTTAAATCATTTGAATGAAGATGAACGTCAAAAGGTTTTATGTGTAGTAAAAAAAGACTTTGAAGTACGTGCTAAAGAACGAGAAAGATTGAAGTAAGCATTTATTTAATAATTTTATATCTCTTATTATTTGTCATTTGCTAACAATATACAAATCGGTATAATTACGAACTGATCCATAACTTGACGCAACAAAGTATCAGAGAGTGTAAGCAATAGGGATTATCATAATATGAATATTAAATGAGTCAAATTGATAAAATCAACAATAAGGTGTAATCACAATTGATTGATCATTGGATGGTGATCACTGTCATTTGTGTCAAGTCCTTTCTAGTGCATCAGTTCCCTTAGAATTACAAATACACCTTGTTGACGAGTGCCAAGTAGCACGAAACCGGGGTCCAGGGTTTTCTGTTGATTACCTCCAACCACCATCTTATCTCAATAATAAGATGTAAATAATCAAAATAAACAAAATCGATTTAAAATTTTCATCGAGTAATTGAATTTTCAGGATTTCAAAAAAGGCTTTTATTAAAATCGTAAACCGATCCAAGTTAGACAATGATTGAAAGTTTAGAAGCATTGGATGGCGGTTCATCCTTGTATGGAACTCCTTAATAGTGCATATTCACGACTCTGAGGTCAAGAATTGAACTCAAAACCTTCGGTCTCGTTAGCTAACGCCTAACCACTGAGTCAGAATTCATGGTATACATGTCTAACACCAACCAATCCACGATATTGCATAACCCTCTTCCATTGTCTTTTATGGTTGTCTAATGTAAATTGTCTCACAATATGACTAAAACTCAACAATTTCCCTAACCCTTTACTAACAGTTAACAATTTTATCCTGAATTCACATGCTATAACCGTTAACGATGTATTTTACATAAAAACTTGGTCACTTTTTGGATTAGAACTTAAAGAGAATTTATTGAAAAGAATATTCTCCATTCATATATGTGTTCTAATTTTCAAACTGTTAATAGTTTGACAAAAATGAAGCAGAAAACGATTATGCATCTTTGTGTGCATTTTCTGAGCTACCATCATCTGTAGTAAATTGAAAGTAGGATCACATTTCTTTATAATAAAAGCCGCTTATGCATATTGTGAACTAAAATTATCCATACCGATTTTTAAAAAAATTATCAATGAATTAAATAATTGATAACTATTAGTACTTGAATAGTGATTGCAAAACTGAAATATGCCACTTTTGACCTTCAAATGACGCCAATGTTTAGTCAATCAGAATATAAATGATACATTTTATTGCGTAACATCGCTGAAATGTTTAGAGATAGAATTAGAAATTAGATTTAGGATTTAGGGTTATGAATTTAGTTAGAATTAAAGGTTAGAAGCTAAGAGTAATAGTTAAGAATAGAGTGGAATAATGCTTCGTAGCCATATGCATATATACGTATGGAAATGATTCTTTGATTTTAAACAATAAGAACCTCAAAGTTAACTTTAGAAAATTGATAAATTATGGTCTACATTCTTTAGTTTTCAAATGTTTATCATTTTGTGTGGTCTTATCAATCATTTTTGTTAGGTTTTAATTAAATTTTAATATGATATAAGTTGTTGCTTTGAATTTCACACAAAAATCCAATAACCACTATCTTAGGTCTGATTAGTTCGTCAGTAGGGTTTACCTTCGTTATCGTGACAATTACTCTGGCAGAGTGTAATACAGAGTAAATTTACAATACTGATAGGATCGTGTAGATTTACTGACACTTTATGATGATTTATTAGAAATAGTCGGAACGTCCGGGTATCTAGTGATTTGTGTTAACCAGGTGTGATTGTGTAACAAGTTATATAGAACTGATTACCTCAAAAGCTAGAGCTGCACTAGTCTGGTTGTAAAAGCCCCATTATTATAAACAAACCTTCTCTATATTGGTAAAATTTACACTCTTTAGACTGAGTATCTTCATTGTCTCCCTGTGTACAACAGCGAACTGAAATTCGCAAGACCAGAGAAAAGATATTATTATCATTTTAAATCAATGCATTTGGTACATTTGCAACATTCCATTCTTTTCGCTTAAATTACTTCCATACAAGAAATTAAATACTGATACAAAAACATGATGAGTAAAGAAGATAAATAATCACTTTGTGACACCGTACCTTGAATTAATAGGTACTTGTATAGTATTAGCTACTGCCAAAGTACTTGACTTTAAGCAGTCATAGGCTCGAACATCAGTACAGGTATTTAAATATTTGTCTCGTATAATGACGTGACACAATGCCTGATTTCTGTAAGGTGCTTATTTCTTAAAAAACTCTTATTCATTGAAGATCCGACATCTATAAAAATCTATCTAAAAACGGCACCAACCTAACAAATCTACAATGATTTATAAAATGACATGATCATGGTAATGAGAATTGCAATTAATACTCCTTTTCTTGATGTTTTTTTTACTGGTCTAATAATATGTTTTCCATTGGGCTTTGGAATCGCATTTTGATTGATAGGAGAGGGGTACGGATAACAGAATTAAAGAGTTAAATCAAACAAATTTACCATAAATATCATGATGCTCTCGTTAAACAATTTATAAACTGATGAATTAACTTTCAGAATTACATTATGTTTACCTTACGAATTATTACCAACTATCAGATGGATAGTCTGTCTCAGATACATCAACCTAAACTCGATAAATTTATAACATTGACTGTTTATTGATTACAGAACATTATAAAAAGTTCTTAATTTTACTACATTTCTATTTTATTAATTTCTTTTATATCCCTTTAAAAAAATATATTAACTTAGCCGATTTCGTTCAAGTATTTTAAGACGAGATAGAGAATTGGCTGTTAAAAGTTTAACATCAACCACTAAAAGTGCATCTTGTTTATTATGTGGACGTGCATTTATACCTTTGATTAATCCTAAACATATATGTTTCAATTGTCAACGTGAAATTTGCCGAAATTGTTCAGAATCTATGAATAAATACGATGAATTTTTATGTAGAATGTGTTTAAAAGAGAAGTAAGTTACATTTTTAAAAGTAGTCTAGTCTATATATATTTATATATATTCTGTGATAATAATGACAAATATTGTCGGTCAGTTAGCTACGATGTAGGACCAGGCACATATATGCATAAACTGTCAGAATGCTAAAAAAGGAAATACTTAGACAACATTTTATAGTTTATATATCCTAGTGTAAAAACTATTCTCTTCTTTAGTAGTCGCTTTTACGATAACCAATAAAGTTCAACTATTGTGATATAAATAAAACCAGTTGTATGTTACTTACTTACTTACTTACGCCTGTTACTCCTCGTAGAGGAGTATAGGTTGCCTACCAGCACTCTCCATCCAAACCCTGTCTTGTGCAATCCTTCCGAGCTCTTTCCAGTTGCTATTCATCCTTTTCATATCTGCTTCCATTTCCCGACGTAATGTGTTCTATGGCCTTCCTCTTTTCCGCTTCCCTTCATGATTCCAAGTTAAGGCTTTCCTCATGATTGATTATTTCCGTAATGTATGTCCTATCTACTTCCAACGACGTTTCTTAATTTTCCCTTGAGGTGGACGCTGGTTTGTTCTCTCCCACAAAAGGCTGTTGCTGATGATATCCGGCCAATTGATGTTGAGTGTCTTGCGTAGACAACCATTTATAAATACTTGTACCTCCTTGATGATGGTTGTAGTAGTTCTTCAAGTTTCGACTCCTTACAGAGAACTGTTTTGATGTTCTTATTGAAGATTCTGATTTTTATATTAGTTGAAAGTTGTTTTGAGTTTCATATGTTCTTCAATTGTAGGAATGCGGCCCTTGCTTTGCCAATCCTCGCCTTCACGCTAACCCGTTGTATGTAACTTTACCATAATATCATTCATTATGTTTGACAATTGACAATATTAGTACCACCTTTATTATGATAATATCAACTAGAGTCACATTAGAACACACACAAAAACCAAATACATTACATTAACCGTATTAAAGTTTTAATAAATTAAACTTATGCGAAACTTAAGAAATATCGAAATCTTTTCAGTATTTAAGAAATTTAGATAGTGAACAAAGAATATTTGTCAAACGAGTATTGAAAAAACTCAAATTTACTGTATAAACTAAATAATTTTACTCTAGTTGGATAACTGGCGATGATAATGTACTTCTGTTTTAACGGTGATATCAGTACAACTTTTCAATAAAGATCAATTCAACTCCTAAACATTAAAATCCATCGCTTGGTTGATCAATCTAACTGAATACCTAATTTGAAAAGTTACAAACATCCTCATATTGTTGATCATTAGTTTTATACCGGTAATGTTTTGATGGAACTTTACACGTGCAACTGCATTTTGGACTTCGATTTTCAAAATGCCTAGGCGTATTTCGAAGGTGATAGACTACCAAACTGACTCTCGACCCATGATCACTTTCAATGCACTGGACTAACAGACATGGTTACTATCATCACCATCATAGTGCAAAAAAACAGAAGGAAAGGACATTTAGCATGGAATTCGAAAACTTTTTAAAATGTATTAAGTGTACTATAGAAGTAAGAACCTTCAATCATTCATCATCTCAACAATGTACTCGATATTAAGTTGCTTAGACTAGTGGTCACCTTGGAACTTGACTGAGAGAATTTAGTTGTTTTTATGAGTCAACTTGAATTCATTCATTTTTAATTAAACCGTTTTTAAAAATGAGTATTTATTTCACATATTTTTTAAATGTTTTTTGTCCAGTAGTTAAATTTTACAAACTCTTCTAGCAACAATTTTTCTTTCATTTTAACCGGTTTCATAACTAAATTTGGCTAGTTACCAAGACGTTGCAACGGCGATTTCATGCACTTATGTCCATAAAAACTTCAAACCCTGTTTAGCCACTAACATAAACACACTAAATGTAATCTATTCATTCTCAGGTTGACGATTTTCAGCTATTAAGATGTTTTCGTTTTATTAAGGTAGGAAATGTCTTCTTGATGTATGATCAGAAGGAACATTTATAGTCAGGTATATAAAAATACACCATAGAAGCAACACGTTCATAAAGACAATAATTTAGAACTATACATTTTCATTTAAATTTGTTGTGTAACACATAATAATGAGATTATGGTTAAAGCAGTGTATTTATTTTTTAGACAATAAGCAACAACTACTTTCTATAACGATATTCATGTTCCTCCTAGACAATCAATATATCAGCATAATTTCTTCGAATTTTCATTAACTCTGTAAATAATATACTTGATTAAAACCTGGAAATCTGTGTTAATTAAATAATCACATCATACTTTTTTGGGAGGGGGAGTGAAGATTATTCCTTTTTCTCTTTGCTTGATGAAAAGCAGTCTCAATAATCTGATCACATGTGCGATTTCTGGGAATGAACATTCACTATTAGTTGAGAAAAAGAACAACCGGGCCAAATTGTTTCAATCAATAGTTAGATAACAAGCTCAGTTATAAGTATTCATTACCTGTAACTTATAAACAGGTCAATAATAAATATCAATTAACGATTCTAAGAAAAGATGCTTTCAGAGATTTATTTAAATTGAATTTAGTTTTTTTGTCACTGGTTGGAAAACTATTGATTCACTCATACATAAGTGAATAAAGCTTAATCTTCAGCTCTTCAAGTTAGTCTACTTTTTACTGATTTTTACAGTCTAAAAATCAAACATTAGTCAATGGAAAAATGGTCATAATTCAAAAAAAAAATAAGATGAGTTGCTAGTTACGAACTAATAATAGCTGATTAATATCATAGCTTATCGCCAGTCAAGTTGACATTATTCTTACAAAATATACAAATATTATTCTCACTCTCTGTAAATGTCATTATTGTTAGATGTGATCCATTGAAAAAGGAGATAACAAAAGTGAATAAACTTAAGTGGTTTGATTATACCTACGACAATAGATCAGCTAAAAATTATACCGTCTTTGCATCGATAACAAAATTATTTCAAAGTTTATCAATTATTACTACATACTAATTCTGTATTATTCTACTTTAACCCGGGTCTAAGTAACCTAATCCATTATTTAACTTACAGGGACTAGAAACAGTTACTAACCCAATTTATCTTCATTGTTCAATATGGTTTTTCTACTGACTTTACATAAGTGAATAATTTCTACTTTTATCGTATTCAGAAATTATCGTGCAATGACATGTAATTGGTTTTACGAGACAGTAATTCAACGATTCAGAGAATTTGGAAGTACAACTGTTGCTAAAAGTTTATTTGGATCAAAGTACAAACGTAAGTTTAGTATAATGTTTAATGGATAAAATTTGATTTAAAACTTTCTCAGTGTTATTATTTCTCGAAAATATCACAATCATTAATGCTTCAAAGCATTTCCAGCCAAGATATTTACCATATATATTACGTCACTGCTTACCGCGAGCCTCTAAGCTAGTCAGAATAGTAGAATGCTGAAAAAGATCTAGGAGAGACTTAACCAAGACATTGAATCATTCGACTAAATCTCTGATTGTTGACCTACATAGCTCCAGATGGTGCACAGAATCTCTGGTTGAAAACCTTAGAATAAAGAATTACCATGTGAATCTGATCAATATCACTATTGAACAAAGGGATGTTACAAACATTCAGACAGAATTTTCTTCCATTTAGTTCCCTAGTTTTTGTTAAAAAAGCTAATTACACTTTACTATTTATTAAAAGTAATCACTTCATCAACAATTACCTGGAATAATGACAACTGGATAATGTAGGTAGACTTTTTTTTGGTCAGATCAACTTTGGGTAAGATTTCCATAAGTTAACCGCGTAAAAAGTTTGACTAATTCACCAATTACATTAAATGATGATCATTGAAGTCGTAAATACTAACTAATGAGTTATTTATGTGACTTGGAATCGGAAGATTAGAATTAAAATTTTGTGATTAATATGCATTGTAGATGGAATCACAAGCTAAGATAAAATAGTGGTCTAGTCCTCCTTTCTTTTCATTGAATGTTTTAAAAGTTGACTTCAATATGTAGTGGAAATTAGCTAAAGATGATGTGGCTTCTTTGTTAAAAATTATGAGTTCCTTTAAAATCCTCTGTGATCTTCATAATGTATTGATGAATAATACGAAAATTCAAGGTTTAAAGTTATAATACCACCATTGAGAGATTTAAATATCACAAAGCTGGATAGGTTCGTATCTCTAGAATTATCTAGAAAAAGAAAGCAACTGACAGAAAGCTGGTGAAATAGAAGTAAATATTAAGTATATTAATCAATAGGGTAGAACGTCATTTCTTCTTTAATTTGTTCCATTTAAATACATTTCGTGAATCACATTTTATTTCACTACTTTTACACTATAATTTAGGGTTGATTGAAAATGTATTAAAAAATTTTCATTTTATCCTTCTGATGTAATCTTCACGCATTCCTGCCACTCAATATGATATAAGACACTCAGAGTGAAAGTCATCATATTCGTTGTAGATGCATGCTAGTCGATATTCTCTTCTTCTCATTATTGTATCAATGTGTTCAGTTATATCGTTTATTTGATATGTAGAACCAGCTAAGAAAGGATTACAAACAAGCATACAGTTGTACAATAATTGAAATCAGGATTCCTGTCAACTGATTCTCATCACTCATCAAATAATTATTATTATATAAATGTACAAACGATCAAGATTTAATTAGTTTTTAATTTAATTAATTTGTAGTAATGAAATGAATACTTACAATACGTAAATATTATTATAGTTATGAACAACACTATTATTACAAATAGAGAGGAATGTTTTTATAAAGTATGTTTACTGCAATATGTAGATATTTCAAATATCTTCCTAGTCAAATTATTGTCCATCCTTGTCTAGTTACAAAACTCATCATAAATGAACATAAGGGATTTGAAACGTTATCCCCTTAAATGTTTTTGATTCAGATCATGAACCGGTTGATGTTTGACCACCATTGAAAACCTGGAAGCACTGGATGGTCGTTTCGTCCTATTGTGGGACTTCTCAGCAGTGCGCATCCACGATCCCGCTCTCAGGGTTTTGACCTCAGGGCCTTCAGTCTCGCGCGCGAACGCCTAACCTCTAGACTACAGAGTTGCCATCCAACGGTGTTAATGTCTAACCTCAACCAATCTGCGAAATTGCGCGATCATATTTCATTGTCTGAGGTAGATACCTGTCTCTACTCAACATTGGTCAAGGTTTCTCACTAGAACTTCAAGAATTCGAATCCCGCATCAGGGTCGTGGATGAACACTGCCGAGAAGACCCACAATTGGACGAAACGGCCGTCCAATGCTCCCAGGTTTTCAATTGTGATCTAACATCAATCGGTTCATGATCTCAATCAAAAACTTAGTAATCTTCACAATCCTATACTGACCATTAAAATGTTTTTGTCATGTGAATAAGTAATAATCATTTTTATCATGAATAATAAGCTAAATATTTATGATAATTATAAAATTAATTAAATTAATTTTGATAATTACTTCCGATTGATTTCTTTACATAATGATTTTATTAATTTTTTTTGTGAAAACATAATGAATACTGATACTTATTGTTCTGTTTTGCTCATTTTGGCTAATGATGTTTGGAATAATAAGTGATTAGAGAATATCAACAAAATCTCTGAAATTACATTTCGTGTTAGTTACCTCTTGTTAGTAAGACTTACATGCAGTTTTGAGTGAACTGATGCTCTCTCTCTCTCTCTGGGATCTAAAACTGTGTCTCCTATTGTATTTTAATTGCTGAGACTGACGACTTACATGAAAAAGATATTGAAACCGATTGGTTACTATGCAGTCTCGTTTTTATGGTCCTTATGAATGAATCCCATTGATAATTATGTAATGTTACCACCAGCTTAAATAATCTGACATTCACTAAACTATGTTTTCTTATCAGATAGTTAGCATAATCTACTTTCACGAAAGGAAGAAAATCTTTTTTGGTCCAAACTAAGCGTCAGATATCGATCAAATTAACACTAGTCTTATGTAGATACGACTTGCTTGCAAGTAGTGTAAACAGAAAGTGTATTTAATATAATGTTGTATCATGATTAGAAATTATTCTAATAGGACCAAAAGCGTTGATTTTTAAGGATACTGGTTTCATAAACAATACTGTAAGTGAAAAACAAATTAATACATAAAAGTGCCTATTAATGTATAGGGTTATAGAAATTTGTGAATTTTAAGTTTCGTATCACAGACTAACGTTATTTAGACAACTAGTGAAAGCTAGAAAATACTAGATTGTCATTTTGTATTGAACTTCTTGATATTTTACATCTATGAACTCACCATAGATTGAACCCAGAATCTATAGGCTTCTCAATGAGCACATAACTTTAAAACCATTGAATTAACAGGCCATGATAATACTTCTAAATTCAGTCGATTTGTAAGATTACCTAACCATCGTCCAGTGTTATTCATCAGCATTCGTCTCACACTTGACACATTTGAACCTCAATGATGACAGCCTTTAACTAGAACTCTGATAAACACTTTTCTAAATTCATTATTAGTGCTCACATATTTATCCTCGGTATATGAGGTTATAGGTGTTAATTAATTTATAGTGCTTTTTAGTTCTTAATGGCCATCTAATTAAAGTCATTTCATCATTTAAAACTATGAAATTCTTGTTTATTAATATGTTTGATAACAATCAATTACTAATCGGTTGAATTAATTATTGATTTGTATATTTTAGAAGTTCAAAATATGGCTGAAGAAGAACTTTGGAATCTTTTATTTCGATCTTCATCATCCAAAAGAAACTCTATCGAATCGAGTATGTGTTTTATGTATAATTATTCTTGTGTGTATATTCAAAATGATAAGTTATTCAATTTTTTATTTATTGTTTAAGTTTACAGGTATATTTTCGTTCCAGTTATTATTTTAAATCATCGGTTCAGTCAGTCAGTAACAACGTGGAACTTCGTACATACGTACATCAGTTCGAGTTGCCATACCACATTAGCACACAGATACAATTGTCCATTCAAATTCCATAGTGGTAGAGGTAGCAAAAGTATAAGTAGTCATCGGCAAGATTAGGGTTTGAAGATGTTATTCAAGAAGCATAATTGAGTGAAATAAATTTGGAAAGAGAAAAAAGAAAGGGATATGGAGAATTCAGAAGATTAAAATTTGGGAGGACACAAAGAGTGGATGCACCTGTGTCATTGCAAACGATTTTGAGCCATGTCATCCAAGGTCTCTAACCATCGGTTGCTATCATCTGGCGGATCCCAACCAGGTAGTCTACACCTACCAACATGACCCAATCCATTTGCTAGTAACTTCATGCATTTGTGCCATGTTTTGGTTTGGCCGCCCCTATCGTTCTTCCAACCTACTCATACACCATTAAACATCACTCGTCGAGGCAGTTGGTGGTTGGGCATACGTAACACGTGTCCCAGCCATCTCAACTGATGAAGTTTCATCACTTCATCAACTGATTTGCCGTCCTTACCTAGTACCCGTTTCCTAACGACTGTATTACTCGGTGGTTGCAGGATATACGCGCAATGTTTCGAAAACAGCTATGATCGAATACCAGTAACCTACGAATATCCTCTACTCTTACCGGCCATCGGTTAAATATTTTAGTGTCAAAAATGAAATGAATTCCAACAGATAAACTGGATTTTTCTATCACAAATGAATGAACGTCATCACGTCACTAGTCATCTAAGTTTGTAGTATTAAAATATGTTGTAAATTAGATGATGAAACTGATGCAGAATTCTATATGGAATAATTGCTGCGTAACAATGAAAGTTTCGCAGTCAAACTATCTAGCTTGAAGAACACAACACCACCATAAGAGTATACTTGATCTGTATATGTTATTCATTCTTTTAATCACAATAAATGTTCCTACTTTAGACTTAATATGGAATATATGGAATGTGGCTAGCAACAGAATCCGGTACTTAGTTCGAATCCCAGAGTGATGAGTCTCAAATAAAACGAAACTCGCGTCTTCCATTCCACTACTTGCCATATTTCATCTATTCTATATACTACATAAAGACAATCTACACACAGGATGCATATATACATCAACAACGAAATAATCCAAACCATTTCATCATAATAACTAATTTACACTTGTCTTAATGAAATATCTATGCAATTATGTTATAAATTACATTCATATGTTATCATAATAACCATATACAACTATAAAAATGCCAAATCCAATAAGATATAATGAAGAAGACACAAAAATGGTTTTTAAAAAAAAGAACACTTTCCCTGACATCTTTTTCTTTTGAAAATCTATGTGAGATGAATAGATTAAGATCCATGCATTAAACATTATAATTAGTATTTGAAGACAAGAAAAAAACTAGTTAAAACCTTTTACAGTTTGAAAGTAAATGACAAGCACAAATACTGTCGGTATACACACTGAACACATCGTTTCTCTTGGTAACTGTAAATGTGATCTTTTCTAGAATGGAATTTTTTATAATTTTGCATATTTTATCCTAAAAAAAAAGAAAAAAAACTTTTTCTATCTGTAATCAACCATATGCTACTGAATATTGCGTTTAGTGTTAGTACCAGTCGCCAACCAATGATTAATCCGTTTTTCAATAAGCATAAATAAACTATTTAAGATTATCTTGTCAGTTCTCAGTATTATCAAAGAAAAATGTGATCATTAGGAGTATTTGAATTATAATACAAACTAGGAATCTCAGAAATAATGCAATCGGATCAAGAAGTACTAGAATTCGAAATCAAACATTCAACAAGTATAAAAGAATCATTAGTTCATACAAACACCACATCCGTCATAGCTTACATTGGAGTCTCAGTTTCTGTAATCGATTTACGTCTACTCCTTATGTTCATCCTGCGCCTGTTCGACAGTGTATTGGATGTAGACTCTATATGATATAGGATGTATTCACTAGTATTAGGACCAACAACTGCAATTGGAACGGAATCGATTGTGTACTGAAATCACTAATATTTAGAATTTGAACCATAAAGTTTCCAACATTATCCTCCCCCACGAAATAATATTGGATCTTCATATCCCCAAGTTATGAATGATGTGGCTTCATTTAAAACATATTTCTCACATTGATCAGAGTATACATTAGAAGCAACTTCATGATAAGGATAAATAACAGTTTATACGGAATCATCCGAATTTTAATCAAAATCGAGCTCATTTAGAATTCGTGCTTCGCATTGAACAAGTTTCCCACAAGAAGCAAATGCATTATGAGTATAAGTAATATATGATACGACATCAGGATTTGATTCTTCTGAAATATTTTCCTCAAGCATACTAAGAATGTCAGTGCAGCGTGATGGATCGTTAGAAGAATCAGCATCTATCAAAACTACATCAGGTTTTCGGTCATGATTTGATTCACACAACATATTTTCCTCCGATTTATAAGAAATTTCATCAGAAATATATGAATCATTAGGACAAACCATACCTGGTACAATAACATGAGAAATCTGATAGAAAGTTGGTTGATTTGAAACTTCTGTCTCACAATGATTCTGAGTTTCAGTCAGTTCTGGTCTGCTATGTGACTCTATACCGCTTTTCGAAGTCGTGAATAGATATAAATGATCGTTAGAATAACCCAACTTGATAGGATCACAATTACAAATTTTAGCATTAGTTGCAGCAGAATGAACTGCAGTGTAACAAACTGACTGAATATGTCCAATCTCACCACATTTAAAATTAAGAAATGCACATAAATTAGATGAGCGAAACCCACCACAGGACGAACATTGACCAAACTTATGCCCATTTTCGTGAACTGCATTGCAACTCCTCAATGAATTGTCTGCATAACGTTGAGCACGCACTTGATTGGGATATCTTGATGAATCATTTTACGAATTCTTCCTCCTTTACTGCATTCGAAATTTGTATACTTAAAAAAGTTTATCAGTAGTTCCTTGAGAATTGCATAAGGAAGTGAAATATGCTTTTCTGGTAGAGCTGTAAGCTGTAAGCTTCATTGCCGATTAATGTGAGGAAATGTGCTACAATATTAACATCCTCATCATCTTCCTTGGTCATAGCCCAGATTTCGAAACTTTCCAAGTAATCCTCAAAAGCAACGAAAATCTGAATGTATGTCCAACCATTCCATCACAGGTTCCATCGCGACGCCAATGTGATAATTAGGAGTATTTGAATCATATTACAAACTAGGAAATAACACAATTGGATCATGAAGCACTAGACAACCACCAATGAATGTATTTTATTTGGAATTCGAAATCAAGCATTCAACAAGTACAAAAGAATCATTAGTTCACACAAACACCATAAAATACTACTTGATCTACTTTTTTTTCTACTGTTTTCATAAATACAATGCTTATCATAACAATAACAAAAAAATAACATATTCATATATCATTTTTATATAAAACATTTTAGAAGAATCAGACAAGTTTTATTCAGCAGATCAAGCTAGAGAAGCACAAATTAAAAAATTAAGAAATCGATTAGAAAAATTAATGGAAGAAACTTTATCTGAATTAAATGCTGTTGAAAAAAATGATTCATTATCACCAAGACAAATCACTTGGCAACGTAAGTTGTTAATACTAATACTGTACTTTAATTTGCTTTGTTGAAAATTACATAAAAAAAAGAGAATACTGTTGAATAAAGTAATGGGTCTTATTTATTGTTTATAAGCATTGGATTGTAATAAATTTGAAATTTGTCAAATTATTAGTTCAGTAACCTTCTTCAGTTGTTATCAACCAGAATAAATTTTAGCGTGTTTAAATCCTTTTTTTGTACAGAAGTTAAACGTGTAATGACATGAGTCTTCTCTCAAGATATGACTATTCATTTCATTCAATTTTTAAATCATTTAAAATGGCTGATCAATTTATACAATAAACATCTAGGTAGAAAGTAATATTTTCTAAGCAAATGGTATTGTATAACTGTTTTTGTATCACAGTTGATAACTACAATTGAGATCATTTCAAATCTTTAGAAAGAGTCGTAACTCAATAATAATTATATCTATGTTGGTGAATTTCTTAGAGGTAGATTGAATAGTTATATATAGTGCGATTCAATACTCTGTGAGGTTAAGTACACTTTGTAATTGACACGGTGACTCAGAACTGCAATAATCAATAATCAAAACTGAATGACATTGAAAAGTTAGGCAACTAGATTTCTATTCCGTTGCTTGATAAGTTCGTGTTCACGACGTGACTTTTGTTTAAGTGTTTTTTATAATGCATAGGTGAAAATCATAACCCATAGACCGATGGTGATTAAGATTAAAGCTGATCAGTGAACTTGTGAGTAGATTTTCTGTATAAATCATAATGTAAACATAAGTCATATGTTACTGGTGTATATTTCAATATAATTTAATAAAAACTGAAACTTTTGATCACAGCATAATATGCAGTAGCTATAAACAGATTAATATTAGTATTAGAAGGGGTTTTCTGAATAATATAGTAATTTTAATAGTTGTGATCATGAGTCAATTGAAGGTAGATTACCATGGAATACCTAGAAGCAACGGATGGCCGTTTCGTCCTATTGTGGGACTCCTCAGCAGTGCGCATCCACGATCCCGCCTCGCAAGATTTTAAACACAGGACCTATTGGTCTCGCGCGCGAATGACTAACCTCTAGACCACTGAGCTGGAATATAACGGTCTTAATGTCTAACTTCAACTAATCCACGAAATTGAGTTAATAAAAGGCTTACAAATCACTAAAACTTCAACTTCAGTCAGTTCCTTACAATAAGTGATTTTCAACAAATTCTTCGGTTTCAGGATTGAAAATATAATTTACAGTCCATTTGTTCCTGATTTGACTACTGGTAAGACTGGTTACTATGTTAAGTCCATATAACTTACTCTAGCTTCTGGACAGGCCAATTTATCAATTCTTCCTGAGTCACGTTTCGACCTTGTTAATTACTCATTTATCAACCTTGACTGTTTTTATATGAGCGTATGTTTGTTCATTTCCTATCTCATGTCTATAACTTAATTTTGTCTAAATATAAATGTTGATCTACGCTTGACTAAATTGAGTTGGCTCACACTCCCTCTCAACTGCGCGTCACTTCGTTCCACTCTCTTCTCTTCGCTTTCTTCACTTCGTTTCTTCTATCGTTTGTCTTGATTAACAATTGTACGAAATATACATATTCAATCATTCATTCTTGTATTTGACTTATTTGATTCCGTTATTTACTAAAACGAGTTAAGTCATTAATTATATACGAGGATTGGCGATATGTATATCTCAATAGCAATCAGAAGCAATCAAAATGGATTCAAATATATGGCCACTAAAAACAGATTCATTCAATCCATCTCCGTTAGTAAACACATTCAACATGAATAACTCAACAAAATGTATACACTTCCAACGAATTGCTGAGAAGTCTCACAGTAGGACGAAACGGCAGTCCAGTGCTTTTGAATTTCCATGGTGATCTAGTTTCACTTAATTCATGAATTCAACGATTAAACTGTAGAATATAACAGTTTCGTCTGTTCAATACATTGTATTCATTATATATGTCATCATTTCAAAATTAAGACAGTAGTTTTTTAATAAATAAAAAAAAAATTCAAAAGTGATTGCTTTTCTCTTTTTCTCCCTTGAACAATTTGATTGACATTCCATCTGCTGTCTTTTTTTATACTTTTGAAGTGATTATTTCACCTTATTACTGTCATCTTGACTTTTTTATCCTCCCACTATTAAATAAAATGATTAACAGGTAAACCGAAAACATGAATAAGCAACTTTTCAAATGATTAGAAACTTTTTTAATATTTGAAACTGAAAGGAAAATATAAAAAATAAAGCAAATCAAATTATGTTGTCAAGTATAATAATAATAATAATAATAGTAACAACTTGGATTGAGTATTAGTAATGGTAAGGATTTCAGTCATCTATTTGAAGAGTTAATAGGTTATTAAAGACTGATCAGATTCACTCTTGAAAACAGTGATTAATGAGAATATACAAGTTCTGAAAATTGATAAAGTATAGCAACTATCCTACAATCACTTGGTATTGTTTGGCTTGTATCTTCCCTTTGAGGTTTAAAACTGCAATTGATCAACTCTGAGATGCAGGTACATCCAGCTGACGAGTCCCAAATAGAACGAAACGCGCGTCAAACTGGATTCTACTGCTAGCTACTATCCATCATTGCTTACAATAAGCTTGTGAATTAGGTAATATCGAGGCATACGCACAGTATGCACATATGCCAATCACAGACTGATCAATTGCAGTGTTAAACCTCAATGGGAAGATACAAGCCAAACAATACCAAGTGAATTGAAATTCACCCCATTGCACAAGCAAGTGGCTATCAGGACTCAGCAGCTGAGTGGATCACGCGATGGCGTTCGAAGAGAATGGTACTGGTTTCGAGTCGCACAGTGAACATCAACTCTGTGAGATGCAGGTACATCCAACTGACGAGTCCCAAATAGAACGAAACGTGAGTCAAACTGGATTACACTGCTAGCCACTATCCATCATTGCTTACAAAATATCCTACAATCAATTTCGATTATGGTTAATTTTGGGTAACTTACTTAGCAGACAATGTTATTTGGGCAGTAACAATCCGTCTATTTATTTTTACTGTTATGACCATTAGATCACATGATAGACTCTAGCTAAAATGTTGATCGCTTAAATATCACTCGATGATTCATTCTCCTCCCCGTGTATATATGTACTCAAATCCTATTTTTAGCTTTTGCCTTGCCTTGCTGTGCCCTTATACAATTTCACTATGAGTTCGCCCGTACATACTTATTCGCCTCTCTGCTTCAGATTTGTTTGATGTGTTTTGTAATCTGCGCTAACCACTAATAAACTGTAGTCGCCGCTTCTCATTGCCTTCTGATTTTAAACATTTTATAACGGTTGTCGAGGTGATTGAATAACGAAACAAAGCCATTACAAATGATATATCGTGTAGTAAATATTATTACTCAATAGCATAGCAGAGATCCACTTAGCTTTTACAGTATATCAGTAAAGGATCCTAGTGTAAATACAAAATGTGCTACAAGAATATTATACAAGTATTCACTAGAAACGTTTGTTTGTGTGTTAAACATTATCAGAATAGTATCTGGTGTAATATGTACTTGGGATACTCATCTTTAACCTTGAAGTATAAATTCTAATATCCATATTTTTCACTTATAAAAGCTCATTTCTACTACATCAGTTTTATGAGCTACATTTAAACCAAATCCTTAAAAATATAAATTTAAGAATGACCAAAGTTTATCAGTTAAAAAGCAATAGAAGACTCTACTATCATTATACTATCATTGTACAATGAAGAAACTTTTGAATAATATTTTAGTTGCGAAGCTTCCCTAACAGCATTTACTTTGTTGTTCTTCTTCTTATTATTAGTTATTATACTTCTGTATTAAACAAAACGTTGTATTAATCATAAAACCCTACCCTGTAACTAATCACTCTAGACAAAGTATTATGTAATATACTAAGTTTGTAGCAATATACACTCATTTGATCATCTTTTCTTGAAATATAAAACTCTTTAAAAGTCTGATATTATTTATGATTACTTAGATGCAGCTTTCATTACAGTAGTGCTGTTATGTTCCTGTTGATACCCCTGAGAGTTACGCGAAACCATAAATACTGTATGGTACTAAAAATCACAATAAATTTCCACTGTAGCTAACGAAATATAAAAATAATATCCTCAGGTTATTCACACACATTCTACTCTGTTACAGTTTATTTAACTTCTGACAGTTTTTATGACTTTATACACCAATATTGTTTGTTATTTAACATTGAATAAGATTATAAGAGAGAAGTAATATTTTCCATTTTTCCTTAAGATGAAAGTGTGGGCATGAAGTTTAAAAAGAACGCCTGTCGTGAAATGAGAAATTTCATTCAAATTCTCTACATAACAACTGAAAGTAAGTGGAAGTTTTAAAATGTTCTCACAATTATATAACTATTTAGATCATAACTATGCAATAAATTGATGCAATACATTCCCGACAGTTTTATCATATATTGAATTGTTAAAACATTTATAGATAGATAGTCGAATGTTAATAGAACAGATTGAAAGTAAGAGAAAAGTTAAGGGAATCATCAAAAGGATATTAAATGCCATCACAAAGTATTAGCACAAAACAACTTTCATCCAAAACATAAATTTCTTGAAGACCCAACTGTATGATGGTTCAAACCCCCTTATGTCCACAAAAATCTGTACTTAAAGTAAACTTACCCTGGTAAGGTTGAGTTATTATTCGGAGTGGTGTGTTTCGTGTCCTTTTACTTATGATCATTGTTTTCCTCTTATCTTTCAATCTGTTTGGTCGACCTTCGGATTTCTATCTGCAAATGTCTTCACAAGTAAATTTATGATCAAACTGTCAGAAGTGTATTGATCCAATAAATCACATATTTCTAGTTAACTCCTCATTTTCATTGCATTATCTAAATTTATCAAAATAAGGTAACTTTTAAATTTTAAAATACTTAAACTTTATGTTTATTATTTTATTTAACTACTGATTGAATTGCTAGTAGTAAAAATAAAATTTTCATCGCTTGAGTAGCATGTATGTATATGGTTTATATTTTCAAGGTACAATTACGGTATACATAAAACTAAAGTGTGTTTACTCTGTTCAGACTAGTCCGAACAACCTTTCAATATCAAATCATTCCACTGATATTCATATTATTTCAGATTTTGGTAGCATTCTTTAACTAAATAAGCTACATTCATCATTATTTATACCTTTTATTTATTGAAATGTATATAAATCAATAGATCGTTAAAAACAAGCTATAGTGCTTATCAAGCTAAATGACACTTTACTTAACGAGTTTGTCAAAGTAAGTTTCTTCCTGAATTAACTTATTGATGCCAGTCCGACATAAACATGGTATATCATGGAGTATTTCTTACACTCTGTTGCGAAGCTTAATTTAAATCTTCATCGTATTTTCGAAAGTTACGTTACAAGATAGATTATGAATATTTCTTTATAAATATTGTTGATTTCCACCAATTATGACTTCCTGATGGAATTTCAGGAATCTATCTCAATGTTTGTCACCAACAGGCTAACAACCCTTTTGTTAGTTTAGTTCAGTTTCTTGAAGGTTTTTTGGAATAAACACATGATTTACACATATTTTATCAAAAAGTTTGAGAATTAACAAAGAAATTACCCATTTCCCACAGGCATTTGGATATTTTATTGTCAATTATAGAATGGATATTGCTTAACAAAGAGCATTAGTTTTCAAATTCAAGCAAAACTTTTATTATAACGTGACAGTTTTCTTGATTAACGAAGTTGAGACTATGAAAACAACTAAGGGCGTAAAGTATTCACAATTAGTCAGTCATGACCAATGAAAAACCTGGCATAAATGTGTATCGTTTAAAGTTGTCAGAGGTATTAGCACAGTGATATAAATTTACCAAGACAAATACTTAAGTATTATAAGTAAAAATGGTATTAGCTGTATTATTTTCAGTCACAGAAGATGAGCAATGTGGTGTTTGATGAAAAAACATTTCTGACTAAAATACCACCTTGATGTATCTTCCATGTCATTCCTTAAGTAAAATAAATCACTCCACAATTGTTAAGAATATATATATATATATATATATATATATATATATATATATATATATATATATATATATATATATATATATATATATATATATAAGTAACCCCCTTCAATTTAACGATATAATGAAAGGATACTAAAAGTGTTATGATTTCATCAACTTGGGAAAATAATGAAAGACGGAACTATTGCTGTTATCTTCTACTCCACGTATAATATATCCTCCTCTCCCGTTACGTTATTATCACACGAACAATGCATTGTAAAAAATTTTCTCTTTTCATCAAACATCTATTCAGAAAATAATACAATTAATCACAAGTTCTTTAAAATTTTGTTTCGTAAATTAAGTGAAGTGAGTGACTATTTGAACGGGTTAGATTTAGATCATTAAATTGACACCTCCATGGTTTACAGTTCTAACTTTTATATATATAAGCAATAAAACTCTATTATCATTAATTGTTTTCAGTAATACCTATCTTACTACGGATATGGTTGAACTCATTTATTGTTAACTGACTGATATTTTGAACCGTAAGATATGATGATATTAAATAATGCTTTAAATGAAATCTATCATTTAGATAGGTAGAAAAAACTTATAAACCAACCATTTGTTGGGCACTTTCTGAAGATATATGACGTTTTGTTTACACACCTTTTAGAAAACTTAATTACAACTAACTTCAATGGCGTAAAGGAGAATGAAATAGTTCTTTTTTTGTTATAGATGATGTATCCGTCTACCTATTAAAAGTTGAGAACGTTATGCAGCAGTTTACTTTATAATGCCTTATGGCTGATAAATACAACCTTAAGAAGTGAAAAACATTCATAATTTGTTAGTATACGATTTTAGATATCTTTGAAGTACTGGTTGAGTTCAGTGACAGCAGTAAATAAGTGATAATCATCAAAGGCCCAAGTAATGAGTAGAAATGATAAATTACATGGTGATAGTAGACTTGTTATTAATAAGGCATCCATCTGCACGTACTCACTCTAATAGCCAGCACCGAGCGAGTTGAAACAAAGTAATGGGTGATTATATCAAAATATTACATCAACTCACCTCTGTTTTTTGGCTGGTTTGAAGAAACATAATTACAATCTATTAGTCGATAATATACTTTAAAATTTACTGATCAGCAATTCAGCCAACCTGAAAAAATGATGTGCTCGTGAGTATTTTGTTAACTGTAATGATTGGAATTAGTTAATATTGAAAGCATTGAGGCCTCAAACGTATTTGTGCACCCATGAATCCGATCACCCAGATAGCTCTGTTACAACACTGGTGTTCCTCTTAACAGTAAACTAAACGATCAGATATATGAAGAAAAACTTGTATATCTACATATGAATCACAACACATCACCTCAGTAGTGATGTCGCCGCCCGCGAAATTTTATTACGCTGGTTCTAATATCCAGTTCCCCCAAGATTCCAGGAACGTCTTGCCGATTTTAATATTAACTGACGCGAGACCTAGGTTCACAGTTTCCTACAGTTTTCCTAATTTTAACCAACTGACATTAAAACATAGTGTACTTGACGTGTAGTTACTTAGACTAACGTTCAGATTGTGACGTGATCGACAGAATGTCATCAGTATCCAAGACTATGTAAACCTGACGTTTATTACTACAGAGTTATGAATAATTATGGAATTTAATCACTTTAATAATGTGAATAAAAATAAACAGTGAAATTTTGATATCCTAATTATTGTATAGAAAGACAAAGAATGCTTTACAATTAAATCAATCAGTGCAGAAAATTGAACTAATCACTAAAAACACTTTACTAAGCTACAAATATTTCCTTGATAGATACACAGATACATGTGATACATTTGTCACAAATAATGATCAAAATTTTTATTATTAATTCATTGAATATTTCGTTTTGAGCACTTAGAAACTACTAAGAAAGTTAATACTATTAAAATTACTGATATTTCAACAAGTAATGCTTAATATTTCACCATGCTTTATTATCTACTCTCTTATATTAAATGTAATATACTAGAGGAACGAATGAGTCAAGGTATGAACACTAAGAATATTACTCCATACGTAATGGATACTTTAGAAAGTGAAATTGGTCGAATAGTTGGATATAGTGTGAAGGTTAGTTTTTAATCTGATTTAAAAGATATAATACTCTTTGTTCCTTACTCTTTCTTCTTTATTTAAACTCTCAACCATACTACTTTTTATTTACTTATTTAAATAAAAAAACCTTGGTACAAGGATGCACCAAATAGATATGTGCCACATAAATCATTCGATTTTTGTGAGAGCTATGATACTGCCCGGGTATTCAAACCAAGGCAGGTAATTTTCTTAGGGGCCACACCCGGAGCCTTCGACCTAACGTAAGGAGATGCGATCCTGTGGTAGCCGGTGACCAACGATCGGTTCATACGCTATTTGTTCCCTCAGGATACTGGAGCCCATGTACACCATTGGTTCCGAAACAAGATATTCCAAATCCCCTAGGTGGATTCCTCGTATCCATTAACCCGGTTAAAGCGCCAAACATTCGCTTTGCGTCTTTTCAATTTTTTAAACAACATTCATGGCGCGAGAAGGCAGCGAGTAGGACTTCTCTGGCAGTGGTTGTATGCACATGGCCATGTGAGAGCATTTTGAGAGAGAGAGCTGACTCTCCCCACTCTCAGCCATACCAGGGCATTTGGGGGCAACTATACTACTTAATTACTAATTAACTGAATATAAAACAATCTTATGTTATACAAATAATAAAATTGTTCTTATATATCTGGTTCTCTGATTGTTGTATTATAACAATTTCAATTTTAAGATAAATATTACAAAAACTGTGAGAAATCATTCATAAGAAATATGAATAATGATCATAATGAACTTAAATTTTAAACAAATTTAAGCCTAAAGAAATCAGTTCTTTTTGTTGAAAATCATTCTCTTTGAGATAAATAAAATGGATTAAAGACCTTGAGAAAAAACCCAGTAACCTGGACAGTATCATCATACGTTGTTAAGTTTTGCTTCTTCTCTGGAACCAGATTCCAAAATTTTGACAATCTGTTTTTATGAATTGGCTTTTATGAGCCATCCAATTTTTATGATCATCCCAGAAGTGACTATGATGAAGACTTATTGCATTACTGATTAATGTAACGGGATATGTTCTATTGTCCAGATATCAATTTGGTAGAAACTTTTTAAAAATGGAATACCCTTAGAAAAAACTCTTGGATATATATTTACCAAGTTGAGCTTAATGCATTTACGAAAATGAATATAACATGTATACTCAAATAAAGCATTAACTGAAAGACCATGATTTCTACTTTTAGTATTCGGACATATTTTGATACTTGAGTTTACTATCCTTGCTAAAAGTAGTATTGAACAAATGTTATTATTTATCCTCGGGTTCACTTTCCCATCTATGTACACTTATGGAAACTTGAGTTCGATACTGTGTATCACGGCCTTAACGTGTTGATTTTCTAGTTACTAAGTAATTTATCAAAATATTTTATTTAGTTTTTCCAAAATATGTAACTTATTTTCAGTTTTCTGAATCTATAGGATTCTGATAAATGGATCACTTACTTACATTACTTGCTCCTATTACTCCCAATAGAGCATACGTCGCCGACCAGCATTATACCACCCACTCTATCCTGTTCTTCTCACGTCTGTCTCCATTTCCCAGCGTAATGTGTTCTTTGTTCTTTATCTTCTCCTTTGGCCTTGAGAATTCCAAGTGACGACTTGTCTTGTGGTTCAGTTTGGTGCTTTCCTCAATGTGTGTCCTATCCACTTTCAGCTCTTCTTTCTGGTTTCTTCCTCGAATAGGATCTGAGTTGTTCTCTCCCACAGTAGGGAGTTTTTATATTGATGAAAAACGTTTTAATGACCCGATATCTGAGTCGAGTTAATTCGTTTGCTGATTGTTATCAAATTATGCATCTCACCAATCCTCGTATATTCTTATTTCACGCTAAAGAATAATGAGATAAAATAGATCGAATACGAGAATAAATTTTGAATACGTATATCTCATACATTAAGTGATCCAGACAAACAATCAACAGCAAAAAAACAAAGTCAAGGAAGATAAGCTAAATGTAACGAAAAGAATCATTTCGTTGAAAAAAAAGCTGAAAATGAACAAGTGTGCAACGAAGTAAATAAATTTGGTTGTGGCAATATTTCATTTTATATTTATGTACTGATAAGTCTTTCTAAATGAACGCTACATTTGGTTCCTAAGCTCTTCTAGTAAACCCCAGGCTCAATCTACACAGAGACTTGAACATGAGAGAAAAGGCACGAAATATAGCAGAAAACTCTTTTCTCCAAAGGTTCGTTTATGCACAAAAAATCTAGGGTTTTTATAGCATTTTATTTATCCTTGAGTTTCGCGAAAATTCTGAAATGCTACTAAACATAGTAGGAGCATAGGTAATCACTCAATAAGAAACTCGACATGTGACTTTTCAGTTTCTTGATGTTTAAGGTAAAACTTCTAATGAACGCATTTTGGATGAGATGCTTCTCAGTGTTTTCAGAACCCTTGTCGGCTATTTTCGAGGAGTTTTCTACATCCCCTAACATGTACAAAATTTGTTGCATAAAAACTACGTTCAAAATGAAATTATAATGCGTTATCATATTTAATCATATAAAATTTAATCATATTTTAAAGACAAAATTTTATTATTACCATTATTATTATCGATTTAACTGGGATAGGGTGTTACAGATACAAACAGTTTGGCTGGTGAAGATGATAAAGAATCTGTTACAATGGTTGATCGTGATGGTCTAGAAGGACGATTGGCTGAAATTCTTTTCAATAAAGTATTTATGAGCTTTTCTTTTTAATAACAATTTTCATTATAAAATGTAACTACAGAAGAATATTTTATGAATTATTCAGATTATGATCAATTAGCAAAGTAAATATGAATAGAATAGGGTGAATAATAACTTACCAAAAAAGCTGAATTGATAGACATAAGGTTCTGCCAGAGAAAAAATGTTAAGACTGAAAGACTCATCAATAAAACATAAATTGTTTCGTACAATAAGAAAATTAAAACCGTTGGATGCCGGCCAGCTCAAAGGTTTAGAGGTTAAGCGCTCGCGCACGAGACTGATAGGTCCTGTATTCGAATATCGCGAGGCGGGATTGTGAGTGCACACTGCTGAGAAGTCCCACAATAGGACAAAACGGCCGTCCAATGCTTCCAGGTTTTCCATAGTGATCTAGCTCCAATTGACTCATGATCTCAACCATTTAAATTATTATAATATCCGCAAACCCCTTCTGATATTAAAAAAACGATGTGTTTAAATGGAAAATATTTACTATAAAAATATTCACATCTAATATTTGCATTTAAATTTAGATTTTCAAAAGATTCGGCTGCTCTAGGCCATTTGTCAGTGTATAATAATAATAGTGAGACAAGATTATGGTTGAAGGTGGTCGACAGGAGACCCTTAACCTTGATTTCGTGCTGCTTGGCACTCGTCAGCATGGTGTACCTGTAATCTTCAGGGAACTGATGCTCCCTGAATGATTCGATCTCGTTTCACCTTCCTTCACAGTCAGAGACGTTACCACTGGGCTATCCGGGCCGTGAATGGCCTCCTGTTGGACTGAGATGTATTTACAATTGGTTGATCACTGGGCGGTGATCACTATCTTGTACGTCAGGTCCTTCTTATTGCAGATCGAATCCTATCGACTAATAGTGAATTATGTGGTATATACTCTCGACCCCAGACAATTTTTATGATCGTACGATCCCTATCTAACGTCATCATTGCTAATGTCAAACAAGGTTGGTAAATTTACCAAGTGACTCCTGATTCTTATTAGTTTAGCGAATGACATTGCAACGTGAAGGAAAATTGTCTTCAAACCATATGCAAGTAAAAATTCATTTTGTATTGTTTGTTTGTATCTTTCTATTGATTTTCGGGACTGCAATTGATCAGTCTCTTATTGACATTTGTGCATTCTGTGCGGATTGCCTGGATATTGCCTTAAGACACAAGCACGTACACTCAGCTGACAAGTAAAGAACAGGACGAAACGTGCATCCTGCATTCCACTGATAGCCGCCAGCCATCTATGCTTAAAATAAGATAGATTTTTAAATTATTTAGACAATTTCAAAAAAGTTAATTTATCCATCACAACAAAAACTTTTGAGCATATTACTCTTATACAAACGATAAATAACAAAATAATTCCATTTATTTCACCTATCAAACAACCAGTTAAACTAAAACGCTTTTTGTGTTAATAAATTCACTAAGACAGATGGTTTAGTTTCAAAGCCTATTTTTGTCTTCCTGAATAACAATATCACGCTTCGCCTAAATTAAATATTAAATTTAAGTACAAATGAAGATAACGAAACCTATTAAGACAACAAATCGTTATGAGGGTCAACAAAAAGAAATGATCTGAAGCTCATGGAATAGCTAGGAAGCTCATTGTTGGTCCTGATTATGTTTTCTAAAATGACAAAGATACCCTAATTAAGCTATATAGCTAACAAAACTCATCAACACTAAATTATCGTGATAAGCAAGTGAGATTTAAATAATTTGAATAAATCACACTTCTTTATGTTAATGGGACTAAATATGTGAAAAGTTCAATCAGGGAACAGAATTCCGTCTTTTACAATCAGCTGTTAATCACTTGATATTAGACATAACATTGTTTCATCTATCTCTGGTTCAAGGACCTATGATTGATGACTTACATACATCAATGTAAGATAATATTTAAGCACATAATATACATAACGTTTCAATTATTCCTTATTAACACTGAGGACTTAAATTAAAAATGAAATGGGTCCGAATCTCAATGTAATAATTAAACGTGGGTCGAAGGTAAATTTATCTGACAAGTTCCAGATAAGACAAAACGTATGTTATCATTCCACTGTATGTCACATACCAAATATACTAAGACATGTAACATAAAGCTATATTGAAACACGTACACATGGTAACAATAACTGTGATTAAGTGGAGCTTTAAATATCAATTTCAAAAAATTATAAGTTCTTATTAATAGGTTCCGATTGGTAATTAATTACGGATCTGAAAATTTAGTAACGCTCTGTCAACCAAACTTACAGAGGAATTCCGAATAGCGACTACAGTTATATCGAAAGAAAAATTGCATGTGTCGTATGCGTCAGTAACCAACCCATAAGTTGGTATAAACATTATGGTTAAATAATGATTATCTAAAGAAAATTCGACTATCGAATAAGCATTAAAAGGTAGAATGACTGGACATTAAAAAATGAGTTGTTCTATTGGGCATAGTCACACTAGTCATATACACAATTTAATCAATATTTCGATAATGCAATGAGAAGACGTAGTTTATCAGAATTATGTGATATATTTGCGCAATACATTTCGAACAATCTGATCACACATATACTTGTTAAGAACATTTATATATGAAAAATTAAAAGGTCAACTAGACAGGTTAAGGATAAGTCATAACAAAGGAAAAATATTAAAGTACACGGGTCATAAGGTTGATATCAAATCAGCATTTGTTGTCTTGTACAAAAGCCTTCAAGGACGTATACTAAGGTTTATTGAAGCCTTGGCTATACGGAAATTGAAACCCCCTTTATGTGTTCAAAAACAATTTGTACTTACACTTAACCTACCCTGGTAGTACTGTTTTACTATCCAGAGTGGTAATCACATTTGTTTTTGTGTACTTTAATATTTTTCCTTTGTTATGACTTATCCTTAACCTGTCTAGTTGACCTTTTAATTTTTCATATATAAATGTTCTTAACAAGTATATGTGTGATCAGATTGTTCGAAATGTATTGCGCAAATATATCACATAATTCTGATAAACTACGTCTTCTCATTGCATTATCGAAATTTATCAAAGGGACTAATTGTTTTAAATTTAATCAATATTGTGTGAACCTGGTTAAAAACTAATTCCAAACATAAATAATCGTAAGATTTGAACTTTAGTAGACTATTTACAATCCAATGAATTTGAAATTTGACTATATCATGCATGATTACTACTTATTTCATGTAGTACAATGTTACTGTCGATCTAATTCAGCCAATTTATTTAGTCACTTTTTATTTCATTACATAAAATATTCACGAAGATATGTTTAATGATTTATTGATGAATTTTCTTAACTCTTTTCAGCTCTATTCCGACATTAATTCTACGAAACAAGTGAGTTACTTATTACTAACAATAGTCTAGAATGAAATAATAATTTCCAAATAATATTAGACAATTCATGAATATACATTATTTACAATTGATAATGATTGAAAATATGAACATTTCTATTTCAACTCAAGTGGGTCAGACACTCAGTAAGAGTTAAAGTTTCTACCTTCGAATTAAATGTGAGATTGTCATTTCATATTAATGAAATGTTCAAGTATCGTTTGACTAACACAAATAAAATAAAAATAATTTTATTAAATGTAGATGAAGTTTTGTTGTCTTAGATGGATGGTTTGTACAGATTTGTTCACAAGAACAATGAAAACTTTATGAACAAACCATCTAGATTAGAGAACAAAACTCCATCTAAATCATCTAGCTAAGCTGTAAATCTTCTCCGCTATCTCAACTTTGTTAAATATACATATATGTTCAAAATCAGCTTCAATGCCTAGTTCACAAACATCATTAGTAAAATTCAAAGAATATAAACACTGGAGTTCATAACACTTTTCAATCAAGATATGAAGTTTTTCAGTTTATAAGCTTTCTTTTCTTTAATGCATCATTCAGTTTATAATAAGTAGATGTCATCAAAGATAATTTCCATGACATCATCTGATTCATTGTAAATATTTAACAATTTTCAAAAAGATACAAACTTGACACAACAACAACAATACAGAAATGCAAAAAATATTGTTGACGTTAAGGATCTGTCTAAAGGAAATTAACCACAAACCCTCCCCCTTTTTTCGTTTGCTAACCTACTCTATTAATTCTATTGATAAGGAGTCAGTTAACAATTTGCTTATTATACACAATCGGTAATGTTGTTTTAACCGTGAAAATTAATCAAAAGAAAAAAATCATACCAACTCTGTGACAGAATAATGATTATTTAAATAGATGATATCATGAGTCAATTGAAGCTAGACCACCATGGAAAACCTGGAAGAATTTGACAGCCACAAAACCCTTCTCTGATTATAATCATTATATGCTCACTAGTGACGGCCTCCAAGAGGTATTGCATGGAGTTTCTAGTGAGAAACAATGGCCAGTGGAGTTCAACCATGTCTGTTATGAGATAGTAACTCACTGATGACAATCATGGATATATCGCTCAATTTCTTGGATTAATTTAAGTTAGACATGAACACCGTTGGATGCCGGCCAGCTCAGTGGTTCAGATGTTAATCGTTCTCATGCAAGACTAATAGGCCCTTGGTTTGAATCTCGCGGGGCGGGATCGTGAATAAGCACTGCTGAGAAGTCCTACAATAGGACGAAACAACTGTTCAGTGCTTCCAGGCTTTCCATGGTGATCTAGCTCCAAATGATTCATGATCTCAACTATTAAAATTACGATAATATCCATAAAATCTCTTCTGAACAATGTTTAATCTGTGTTTATTTTTATTTTAATTCTATCCGTATCAGCTCTTTTTTTATTCGATCTATAATTTTTTTATACAATTTAATTCTCTCATCCATTAATTACTGGGTTGTTTATTTTTTCTTTATTTATTTCAATTTAGGAGACTGTTAAAAAATTTTCATTTCAAACATCCAATCCCATAGTAACTAATACAAATTTCAATAAATCATCTTTTAATTTCATGAATCAACCAAATCAAAAAGATGAACTCAATGTAACAGAAGGTTTTCCAATTCGAATGGAATATTCTTTACCATATAATGAACAATGCGGTGAGTATTAATAAATAAATCTTAATAAATGTTCGAAACTTTTCTTAAATTCTTCTGTAAGACCACAATCAAGTAATCAAGTAAGGTATCGTTTAGCCAATACACGTCAACTGAAAACAGCACATCCTTATGACCTATGCTGACCTATGCTGCATAGCCTAAATGATGTTCGAAAGTGAAAATGATATAATGATCAACTCGAGATATGTCAAGTGAGAATTAAGTCTAATAGTCAAATGTTCATCTCATTAGAATTATGAAATCCTTTCCTTTAAAACTCCTCATCTTATTCATAAGTATGTGATTTTATGAGAAAAAGACTTTTATCCCAAGCAGCTACATTGTCCTTTGTTTTCTATACGATTTATGGCTTTTATCAATAATTCATTCTTGTGATCAGACAATACTCGGTTACACTGTATCACATCATATTGTCAATCGATTGGTATTTCTTCATTCATTTTAAAATATATTAATGATAATTATAACACTTCAAACTTTCTATATAATGAAAACTTGTAAGCTGATAAACACAAAAATAAGTCATCACATCTTCTATGGTAGATTTGTCTAGCTTATGAGTTCTTCAAGATTAATACTTAGTTCTTAATAAGGATACAACTAAACTTAAGATTTATTTCATATAAGATTAGCTATTATTCAATGAATTACTAATGATATTATTTAATTAAGAGTATACATTGAACAAATGAAGAAAGAAATGGATTCTCATCACATTGGCTATATTAAATGAAGTATACATATCGTGTATCACTTTTGTTATATCACAATAAAACAAACATTTACTTATCAATTCAAAATGAATTCAGCATTCTATAATGATTTCCAATATTAAGTTTTATATGAAATTCTAATCAAATGTTTAGTTGTCACTAATTGAATCTGTAGGACACTTTATTACTACTATAATTTTATATCACATTATCATTCCTCCTATATTGTCTTACTCTTTTTCATATCCTTTTTCCACCGCACCCCAAACATTTTAGAACTTCAATGGTATAAATTAAACAATAAAAATCAACGAGTCCCAGTCAAACTTGATTTTCGTATTGAACATGTTATCACTGGTGCAATTAATATGTCATTCAAACAACATCAACAATTAAATCATCAATATCCAAAACATCCATTTGTTTTGTCAAATTCAGGCTTGATTACAAGTGAAACAAAACAAAAGTTGAATCAATGGAAATGTAAATTATTAGAATCTGAATCAAATACTAATGTCGATAATAATAATAATAATAATAATAATAATAATAATAATAATAATAATAATAATAATAATAATAATAATAATAGTAATAATAATAATAGTGGTAATGAAATCATCTACCTACAACATCATCTCATCATATGGGCAAGTAAACCTGATGATGCTGGAAGATATTTTGCATCAAATCAATATCCATCGAATACAGATGGTATATCATCAACCGAAGAGAAAGAATTTATACTACAAGTAATAAGTAAGTTAATTATTTTTATTTGTGCAATTTAGAAGAAAAATAAACAAACACGATATTTATCTTGTAGTAAGAGTACAATTTGTCAAGCTGCATCAATTAGGATGACTCTCCCAGTCTCCCACATTGTAAGAGCATTCCATGTGTCTAAATTAATGGTTGCTCTGATTGTCAGAAGGGGTATCAACCTTGTGAATTTCAAAGGAATTCGGCTTTCACTATGAGGCGCCACAACTCTTGTAAATGAAAACCTTCTAACTCCCAGGGAAGAGTTTAGATGGTTTGAATTAACTTTCCTGGTTAGCGTTTGTTTAGCGAGTTAGTTTTCCTACGGGATTGGGTCGCAAACTCCATGCCCAACCCCCTCCCTTCATCCGGGCTTGGGACAGTCATTAGCCCCAGAGGGACCCCAGGAGTAGTTAAGCTACTAAAACAAACTCTGTTCCTTAAAGACAAAATATTTTATTTTCAGTATCAATTGACATACATGTTATTAGTTATATATCTAAGTTATTAATTGATAAACGATTAACTCTACGATATATATTATCCATCAGCATTACTCAAATTGTTCTCAGGCAAATCTTATAACTGACTTTATTTATATGGTTCTTTTAAAGAGTGTTTGAGAAGCCTAAATAAGCCAATAAACATTGTGAATACGTTTGAATGATCATTTGCTTTATTATCGTTTTGATTTTTGTAGGGTTTAAACTTGTTAAAACCTATGGAATCTAGTACTAAACTAGAAATTCGATATTCCAAGTATATGATATGAAGAGTAGAAGTTCAGATTTATACTTTGTTAGTGATAGGATAAACCGTCGACAGTTATTACGTACAAAACAACAGAACTGGAAATATTTCACTAAAGCGGGCAAATCCATCTTTTTGATTCATAATGACAATGAAAGCAGTCAGATACAGAAATAGATTAAGAATCTTAATTTATTCCGACCTCATGTATATACTCAAGAAAATGACTAATTACTGATAGTTAACTTTATCAGTTCTTTAATTCGCAGATAACAGTCGGTCTGTAAGGTAAAATAATCCATTACCTTTGGCAATGTAGTAATTATGATAACAATCGCTCTATTCAGTACTATATGTGTGATTGCATCAAAGAATTCTCAATGCAAAGTATGCAATATCGTACTGAATTTCACATTTTATAATCATTTAGGTAGTGGATATTCTGTTATTATTATCCGATTGTAAACATTTGTGATCAGTATTGTTTCCATGGCATTACATTGCATGTATGTAATCTATCGTAACCATTTCTCGTTTTTAGACTCAGCAGAAAAGACAGAAGATAAATAAACTAACTAAGAAGTACTTTAGGCTTTCCTAATAATCAGATTTGCGATAGGTAGTAAACACCTTATTAAGATGTACAAGGGGATGCGGCTGGCAGTCATAAGTGAGTACAAATCCACAAACAGTAACACCTATGGTAGTAAAGGCGTATTTGGGAAAATAGTGACTCAGAAGTCTGAGTGGGTAGTCATGAAATACATTGAACTATACCACTGAAAGATATTAATGAAAACACGACTCGTAAAGTGATTGTAAATGATCAGAATTTCTGTAAAACCCCTTGTGTTCCTCTTATACAATAAATTGTCATTCTTTGTGAATATTCTTTACATGAATACATGTATATCTCCACTAAGGTTAAATACTGTAGAAAATACATATGTATCTAGATTAAATGCTTTTGTTATTGTGTGGAGGCCCGTGATCTGACTCCTATTTAGATAGTATAAATGTTTGCAATCGCCTATTCTCGTATATAATCGCCGACTTAAATCACATTATCCAATAACGGAATTAAATAAGTCAAATAACGAGAATGGGATGTTGAATACATATATTTCGTATGTAAAGTGAATGTAATAGAACAGAGCAAAATGACGCACAGGGAAGATGGCTGGGAAGCCAACTCCATTTTAGTCAAGAGTTACTCCATATTTATAGGTTGACAAAATAAAGCTACAGACATGTGATTGATGCGATAAGAAGGGCACACACATATACGCTCATATAAAAACAGTCAGGACTGATAAGCGAATAATTAACAAGGTCAAAATATGGCTCCAGTAGGATGAATAAAATGGGATATCCGCAAGCTAGAATAAGGTATATGGGCTTGGCATAATAACTGACACTACAATTGTTACTTCTATGAGTTGGCTGGTTAATGACAGGAATATTGAAGCACATAGCAACAACGAACCCATACAAAAACAATCATTTACAAATCAGATCAGCGGAACTAAAGGATTTAAAACATTTGCAACAATTCTAAATAAACTCAAATCTAAGTTAGGTTGACAGTGATTTTTCTGTACAGAACGATAATAAAAGATTCACTATTAAATCATATTGCACAGAGAAGTTAGAACCAAAAATAGCGTCTAAGAAGTCATATTGTTTGTTAAAACAATACTAGTTTATGATGAAGTTTATTTTACTGCTTACATGCTGAATAAACTATAAATTTCATTTGATATCTCTTTATATTAAAAAATTTAGAATCCAATCAATCACCAGGCAGTCCACAATGTTCACCAGAATTTATTGAACCTCTTATAGTACAACCAATGAGCAGTGCTACTAGTGATCCTTTTATTGAAATGACATGTATAGTGACAGGCAATCCTATACCAAGATGTTTATTATACCGAAATTCAGTACCTATCCCAGTGGTTGTAATGCCTTTTCTCAAAATCGAACCTAATGATCCACTATCTACATTGAGTTCTTTAACGCAAAAATACACTGTCACAACATCATTATTTGATTTAAACAAATCAGATCGATCAAACAGTTATACAAGAAAGATTACACTACGTCTTAATCGACCATCCAGTTCAGAAGACATAGCCACTTATAGTTGCCGTGCATGGAATTGTCATGGTCGAACTATTACATCAACTGTTCTATCAATGCAAGGTAAACATTAACTAACCTTTTTTTATTCATATTGTAATCACTTTTTTAAAGAATTTCTGTAATCTGACTGTAGTTTCCTTTTCATTAGGAGGTAAAACATTAATGCTTTCTAAGGTATTCATGATCAATTGATGAAGTAGTGAAACTTCATCAGTTAAGATGGCTGGGACACGTGTTACGTATGCCCAACCACCAACTGCCTCGACGAGTGATGTTTAATGGTGTATGAGTAGGTTGGAAGAACGATAGGGGCGGCCAAACCAAAACATGGCACAAATGCATGAAGTTACTAGCAAATGGATTGGGTCATGTTGGTAGGTGTAGACTACCTGGTTGGGATCCGCCAGATGATAGCAACCGATGGTTAGAGACCTTGGATGACATGGCTCAAAATCGTTTGCAATGACACAGGTGCATCCACTCTTTGTGTCCTCCCAAATTTTAATCTTCTGAATTCTCCATATCCCTTTCTTTTTTCTCTTTCCAAATTTATTTCACTCAATTATGCTTCTTGAATAACATCTTCAAACCCTAATCTTGCCGATGACTACTTATACTTTTACTACCTCTACCACTATGGAATTTGAATGGACAATTGTATCTGTGTGCTAATGTGGTATGGCAACTCGAACTGATGTACGTATGTACGAAGTTCTACGTTGCTACTGACTAGCTGAATAATTTATACTGATTACATTATTTAAGAAGGATTAATCAACTAACTTTTCTATTCTAATCAATCATAGTTGAGTAGGTTTTCTTAAAGTATTTTCCACAACTGTCAGCTTGAGAAAGCATTTGATTTGATTCCAAGGAATTCAAATGATTCTAACTGATATTTTTTGGTAACTTGATTTCTGCTTCTAATTTAGTTATAAATTGTTTATTTTCTCAACAACAATAAAGATGAACTCATCCGGAAGAACATTCCCTCATAACTTCCTAAAATGAATCAAATAACTTTATATTATATGCCTCAATTCATTTATTCTACATGACAAGTGAAGTGAATTTCAATTGTTTGTCAGACATTGTTAAGTAACTGAAGAATTATGTAATCTCTCCCTTCCTCTTTCTTCTGGTTGTCGACTGGATTATGAAGACCTCGACATCTGAAGGAAAACACGGAATACAATGGACAGCTCGAAATCAATTAGACGATTTGGACTTCGCAGATGACCTAGTCATCTTATCGCATACACACGAACAGATGCAGATGAAGACAGCCAGTGTAGCAGCAGTCTCTGCATCAGTAGGCCTCAGCATACACAAAGGGAAAACCAAGGTCCTCAAATTCAAAGCGGAAAACAACAATCCAATCACTCTTGATGGCGAAACTCTGGAAGATGTAGAGTCCTTCACATACCTAGGAAGCATCATCGATGAACAAGGGTAGCATTCCTACAGTTGAAGAACACATGGAACTCAAAACAACTTTCAAGCAATATCAAAGTGAGAATTTTCAATACCAACGTGAAGGCAGTTCTACTGTATGGAGCTGAAACTTGGAGAACTACAACGACCACCATCAAGAAGGTACAAGTATTTATAAATAGCTGTCTTCGCAAGATACTCAACATCCATTGGCCGGATACCATCAGCAACAGCCTTTTGTGGGAGAGAACAAACCAACTTCCAGCTGAAGAAGAAATTAGGAAAAGACGATGGAAATGGCTAGGACATACATTACGCAAATCGTCAAACTGCATCACGAGGCAAGCCCTAACTTGGAATCTTGAAGGGAAGCGAGAAAGTGGAAGGCCAAAGAACACATTACGTCGGATAATAGAAGCAGATATGAAAACGATGAATTACAACTGAACGGAGCTAGAAAGGATTGTCCAGGACAGGGTTGGATGGAGAATGCTGGTGAGCGGCCTATGCTCCTTCACGAGGAGTAACATGCGTAAGTAAGTAAGTAGTTTCATAACCATCAGTCATTAGATAACTTGTGTAACTTATGTAAGTTATGACCTCTATCCTACAGATTATACTTGTATAATAAACATTTATTTAATTACTATCTATTTATCTATCTGTTTTTCTTTAAAATCATGATTTAACTATTCATTATTTAGATCACTTCGTTAAATTCGATTGTCCCTTAGAAAAACCGAATATGAATGACAATATCGATATGGTAAAAATTGATTTAATTCAATCAACAGTAAATACTTCACAAAATGTTCGTGATGTAAGCTTGTGTTCTATGTAAAATACATCATCTTTTTCATGTACTTACATTTTCAAATTACCTCAAAATTGATCATTTATTACAGCTTAATAATAGTAGTGTAAATCAATTGTTAACTGGTCACATTATAGGTGGGAATTCTCAAAAAATATTACTCGATTTGACATATCTACTAAAGCATAATAAATGTGATGGCTTTTACTGAAGTGTCATTTCAGACAATATTCTTCAAAAACCCTTTGCACGATGCTTAAAAACTAAATCGCAGGATTTTTTTATAACCTTGTAACCAGTTTACTGTTGTATTCTGCAGCCCGATCTCATCATTATACCATTTCCTAGCTTTTTACCAACTTGGTATGTAAGAAATAATCAATAAAACAAAATGAGCTTTATAGCTGAAAGCCTAATTCTCATATTTGCAAATCATTCGTATAAACAGACTACTGAACCAACTCAAATATGGAGATTTGAGTGATGATGTTAACTTGATAAAGAAATCACCCAAAATGGCCAGGTGAAACTTATCGCTTATGTACCATGTAACTCTGGATTTACACTTGATCTATTCGGAGTTTCCCGACCTAACACTATTTTATAGTCAGAATAAATCAATTATAATATATTTCTCTATTGTACTGAGCTTTAAGAGTTGGAAACCTTGGTGATATATGTATTCTTTTAAAGTCATAGATATGACTGGTTGCTCATTTTCAATAAGCACGAAAATAAGAAAAAAATCAACCAATGTAACTAATTCTCTAAAGTTACCTATGACTAAGGTAATGCTTTGACTGTATTTTCAGTCGTGATAGCTAATGCGATTCTATTTGGAATAAGTCTGTTAAATCCACATACAATGACGTTAGTATTTTCGTCTAGACCATAACCTTGTACCCATAATTTAATAGTAATAAATATTATCTGACGAGCTACCATAAACTATGGGACCGGTCATTACGGAAACCGATAACTCCATATATACTTGCCAAGTACTACGTTGTTTGACTGACTTTTTGTTGTTAAAGTTTGAATATGATCAAATCTAACAATCTTTCGATGGATACATTGATACTACTCGTATCTGGTAGTAGCTAAAGTAAAGGAATTCTCTAAAAGAACAATATATGGCATCTAAATTTAAGTCTAATCAACTTGCAACAAGAATAAATATCAGTAACACTTATATTAGACTACCCTATGTAAAATATACATAATTATTAACGAATATTGTGTCCTTCATGATATGTACAACAGTATGGGTGTATACAAAATAGGAACATGTATAACCTGTAGTCCTACAATCAGCCAACATTAGCATTGTTTAAGTTGGTATTGTGGCTAGCAGCGCTATCCAATATATGCATTCTGTGCTATTTGGGACTCCTACGCTGTATGTCCCTTCATCAGTAAGTTGGTCTTCACACTGAGACTCAAACCCAAAACCTATCTCTACAAAAGCCAATGAATTTTTCACCGAACCACTGGATTCAAACAAGTGACAGCTTTTCCAAGAGGGTGTAATACTTATTCGTGGGGTTTTTTTATACACTCTCTGTTAATATATTTGACTGCATTTAATCAGTATTTATCAGCATATGTGCACCCACAGCGGATGCATAAACACTAAAGCTGGTAACAAAAATGATAATATCGAGGCGTCTGCTCAAGATCTACATGTCTCTATAATCAGGATTCAGTATTAAATATCAACAACTGAATAGCGCTTACAAATACTGCCTTAATTTCTTCTGGCTGATGGACCCATGAAAACAGACGGTTGCACATCTATCTTTGGGGAAAAACCGCCAACAAATTTTTGCTTTCAAAGAAATGAGAATAATGTTCAACTATTTAAAAAACTAAATGAAGCCACAAGGAAACTGAGTGTTTACATTTATATTACATCACACAGACTCTTATCTCAAAGTAATTAAATGCTAGAGTTTCAATGTTTTTATTAATCCAACTTCAGCTGAAAATCGTGAATGGGGTGAGATGATAGTAGGACATCGAAAACTGTGTCATCTCTGAGTATGAGGCAAACATACAATCTTTATTCAACAAAGATTCTATATGTTTACCTAAAGAATTTCAGTAATAAAAGTTATATCGGTTTTTGATAACATGATTTTTGTGTATCGCAAATACAAAATCCTATAAATGCATCACCATACACAAGAAATATCATACTTCGAACCTAATATAAACCACTGGTCAAGTGAAATAATGATACATGCAATTAATTAACCTAAAGCCTAAAAACAAACAAACTATTAATTACATATCTATTAAAATCCATAAAAAAATTCTAACCCACCGATTAAATTGCACAACGAACCTCCAAATCAAATAGTGAAATATATCTGTAAGACGGAACTCAAGTCCTCAATTATTACGGCGTCAGTGTTAAGTCAAAAGTATAGTCAATGAAAATATATCTCTACAATTCAGAGGACACCACAAAGCTGTGTCAAAATAAACAAGCTGTCCGATAGACCAAATTTTTGTTAGCAAACAACATACATAATAACAGTGAAAAGGAAATATTAATACATATAAGAAGTGTAAAATAGATTTCAAAACACCTTGAAAGTAAGAAAAACCGATGAATTATCTGCTTTCATTGACTTTAAATAATTTCACCAAGAAAAATTCAGGTTGAAGTTAGACATTAACGCTGTTAGATGCCGGCCAGGTCAATGGTCTAGTGGTTAGACCATCGCGCGCAAGACTGATGAGTCCTGGGATCGAATCTCGCGAGGCGGGGTCGTGGATGCACACTGCCAAGGGTCTCATACTAAAATGAAACGGCCGTCCAGTGCTTCCAGGTTTTCCATGGTGGTCTAGCTTCAATTGACTCATAAATTCAACTATTAAAATTACTATAATATACACAAAACCCCTCTCTGATTATAATCATTATATGCTCACTGGTGACGGTCTCCAAGAAGTATTTCCTGGAGTTCTAGTGAGAAGCTATGACCAGTGGAGTTTAACCGTGTCTGTTGTGAGATAGTAACTCATTGAGGACAATAGTAGACGGTGGTGCAACTTCATGGATTAGTTGAAATTAGACATTAACACTGTTGGATGCCGGCCGGCTCAGTGATCTAAATGTTAGGCGTCCGTGAGCGACTCAAAGGTCCCGAATTCGAGACCCGCGCGTGAGATCGTGGATGCTCACTGCTGAAGATTTTCATACTAGAATGAAATGGCTGTGCAGTACGTTCGGGTTTTTCATGATGGTCTAGCTTCAATCGACTCACGAATTCAACCATTAAATTACTATAATATCCACCAAAACTCTTTTCTGATTTTAATATGTGATATTGATCATTCAATATTGAACTACATTGTGAAATATTTCTTTGGCTGATGTATTCTCTTTAAGTCTGTTTTTTTTTTTAAATTTAGTCTAACATGAGGGCTTATTGAATGCTGTTTATGCGCACAGAAATTCTTGTTGTAGGAGAAGTTTTGCGTTTTTGTTTTACATTTTTAAACTTAGTATCTATTCAATGAACTTATCGATAGATTTCAAATTTTATTTTTCCAGAATAGTGATGCTCTGGTCAAAAAAGAAGGATCCCCTCTAATTACCATATTAAGCGATTCACATGACAGGTATAAGATATATATCTATTAATTGACTTGAATTGTCTATCACTTAATTATCAATGATGTGACTACTTAAATATGAACCTTAACTAATAATGGATAACTAATAATATTCAACTACTGAATACGTGAAAGCTCTTAACTGTAAATTTGGAAATTTTGACAATCAATTCGTCGTAATCATACAGAGATAAGAGGTTAAACTATATAAATCCCAGTCCTGTTTTTTTCAAGTATGTGAATCAGTACCTACTATTGTTTGATTGTTTCTTCTTGGATCTAAATGTAATATCCAAAGTTTCCATCAACTCATTAACTGTATGTCTCATTGAATTAGTGTAGATACAATTCATGTTAGAGTTAAATATTCAACGATTATCGACATTCATAAGTAAGAAATATCATTACAGTAGTAGGACATGGATAAGAAGCAATTAAGAGTAAGATTAGCAATTAAATTATTGTTGTAACGGGTGAGTGCAGACTGCAGGTTTTGATAAGCAGCGTTTATATCGATCGACCGCAGTGACACGTAAACACGTAATGAACGACCTAGTATCCCGATTGGCCATGCTTCCCTGTCTATCCCAGCCAGTTGAGTCCAGAACGAAAGTCACAGCCCCTGAGATATGAATCATTATATTGCAAACACACTCTGTTTATATACTAACCAAACATACCACATCGTACCATAAAAATAGAAAACAACATTTACACAATATTAAACAAGTGAAGCAAATATCGACCAATAGGAAATATACATTTAACGTCCAAGGACAACATTATATTTAACATGATAACTATTGGTATATTTTTCTGCACATCCTATCAATTATCAATTAAATAAGTAATCCCCCTGAGATGATGGAGAAGATTTGTAGCTCAGGTGGATGATTTTGGTGGAGTTTTGTTCTCTGAACTGTTGTCTGAGTATTAATCCCTTACCTTACCATCAAGTTGAATTCTTAAAAATTCAGTTATCATATATTTGGTGTTTGGTAAATTCCTATCGTGTATTCACTCAGTTTTGATATGCCTTCAATACAAAAGTCATTTTAATGTAGGAATACTTAAATGTAGTTAGTACTCGCTATGACTAAAAACTCTATGTAAGGAATGATATTTTCTCATGAAATGTATTTCTTAAACGCTATGTATTCGAAATTATTTTCCTAACCATTAGGATCTTGGTCACGGTTATTGAACGTATAGTTTTGACGGGAAATCGCTGATATCGCCAACATTATCCAGCCACATAAAACAGAGACCTACATAGGCTTCTTATGGACTATCCTCTCCCATAAGACACACTTTCTTAAATCTAAAACACAATTCTAAAATTCTGAATTACTTCATCAGATGTCTATCATGTCGTTCTCCGTTGATTAACTCTGGTAAACAAAAAACTATTCATCGCTACATCAAGTGTATCTGGTAGTCTGAAAACTCTATGAGACAAGTGATTCTTGTTATTTACTGACAGGATATAAATTTATTAAGTTTATATTGCATACACAAATCGTTGTCATTGGATCTTATGTATCCACTTTTATATAATAAAAACTTTCCAATAAAGTTACTTATTGTAAAGTCTAAAAACGATTTCAAGATTCAGCAAATTTCTATGTATGAAGTTCCATGAAACTATTTAACGAAGTTATTAACTTGATAACATTGGCTTAGACATATGTGAATAGATCAGCAGTAATAGTATTAACAATAACATCAAGAAAATGTCATTTTGAATCTTAAGGAGTAACTGAAATCTAAGGTGTAGTATGTTTTCTTTCAAGATCTCAGGTGAAGCTCAATAATGATCATTAAGATCTTTTTAAAAAGATATTTTAGGATTTCTGTTGAATTACACTGTAAAATTGTTAATGCACTAATAATTACGGTGTTTATCGAATTCTTAGAGTTAACCCTACTCTTTTGATCAATTTCTAATGTGATCATTAAGCTAAGTAATTCAATAAGGCAATATATCATGTTTTAATTGATCAGTAATTGGAGATTATTCCCAGGATACTACAAAGCCAAGTTTCATGTTAACTGACACTCGTAAAAAAATTTATCTGCAATTTTCGAGAGAAATTATCCTTCATGTGAAACAATAAATAATTCTTTGCTATCGATTAACAACTCGTGTAATATCCAGTACTAAAACTTGATTTCTTGATTTCGTCTAATTATCTAATTTCTTCAATGTATTCAGATGGGATGAAAATTTCATAAATACATATCAATAGTTTTTTTATTTTACCTGCCGGGTTTTATAAACTTATTCTGATTATGCATTTTTACACTTGTAGTATCAGTGAATTCAAACGATTTGAACCGGTAAGTGGTTTCTATACTTTATATATATTTTGGCTGATCCCCTTCATTCATTCGCTCATGAAGAGAATTCGATTATCATTTTTACTTAGTTAACTTATATTTAAGGCGAAATAATAAACGTGTCTTTAGTATAGTTAACTTTATGTATTTTCACAATACATTGTACTTACAAATAACTATTTGATTTAGGATTGTTAAATGTTAGAATGTTAAAATGACTAAGAACTCCAGATATAAGGCTAATGTTGGTTGACACTAGTTACCAAAGTGTATTTAAAATCTACTCGAGAAAGTGGTAGTTGTGTTTCAGAAACCTGAGCGGTAACATCTTTGAATGTGACATTGAACAAAGTGAGTTTGAATCCATTTGAGATCAGTAGTCTCCTCGGGAATGAAGATATACTGTGCTAACACAAAACTAAACAGTATTCTTCTATATATCTAATATCACTTAACATTAAACGTACTGTATTGTTAAATTGAATCGCTCAAACTACTTCCTGATTCCGCTCATTAATTATAAGTAAACAACTCAACGACAATTGCTGCTGAGAGGATAGAGAATGTTAATCATTAGTTTGAAAAGGATAAATAAAGAAAGGAACTGGACGGGACTTCATTTTCCGGCTGTTATAAGAAAATGATACAAAAAATTATCGTCTAGTATTGACCAGTCTGGGTAGAATAATTACCATAGCAACCTGTTTGCTGCACCTATCAAAAAAATAATTAGTATTTTCATTCAACGAATTATTGATTATTAGTGTGACAGAAATATCCTAGTTGGCTAAAAAGGAATCGGAACCTATTCAATTTACAATTGATTGATCACTGGGTGGTGATCACTGACATGTGTGTCAGGTCCTTCTTAGTGCAGATCGACTCCTATCGATGAAGTTGCAATGTGGCCACTAGTCTGGGTGACTCAACATTGCGTCCACTATGTTGAGATAAGATGGTGGTTGGAGGTAGTCGACAGGAAACCCTGGACACAAGTTTCGTGTTACTTGGCACTCACCAGCAAGGTGTACCTGTAATCTTCAGGGAGTTGATGCTCACTGACGGATTCGATCCCGTGACACACATGACACTGATCACCACCCAATGATCAATCAATTGTAAATACATCTTAGTTCTACAGGAGGTTAGTCGCTACTCGGATAGCCTAGCTGTAACCTGTCTGACTGTGAAGCTGGGCGACACAGGATCGAATTTATCAGAGAGCGCCAGTTCCCTCAAGATTATGGACAAGCCTAATTAATGTTTCTGTGGTTCATTACTCGAACATTTCTAAACAAAAAACCCCCGAAATATTGGTAAACACTCAAAGTATATTTTAACGAAATAGTTTTTTTCCACATTCTCACTGAACAAATTAATACATCTTTGCTTGCTCAAACTAGAAATATTCGAGTTCTGTCATTGAAATATCTCCTGAAAACCAATCCATCGATGTTAAGTAAGTTCACTTGTTCCATTAAGATTTCCACCTTTTTATTTTTATCTCTTCGTACCAACAGCCATTTTCTAGAAGACACTATCATGATTTGAGATACTTACATTGTTACAGTGAACACTTGATTGACTACTCAATTAGCAGCGCACAGTTGGTGTGAACCAAATTTACTGTACATGATATGCTATGATAGAAGGTTGTACTGATCATATGAATAGTTAATATATATATACTTCACTTGCTTGTGTGTTAACGAAACAGGAAGTCATCTTCATATTTAATGCAAATCAAACTGACATACCTCACAATCTGAATAATGTTGTTCAAAAACTCTAATGATTTCGTCTGAACATTACTACAAGTTTTTCTATTGAAACATGTAGCTTAAAGAATAGAGCATCATTATAAGATACCATAAGAGTTATAATCTATTTAAATATTGATTTTGTGGAACATTATCACTTGTTACTCTACAGTATATTGTTATATACTCATCTTGATATCTATTATAACTATCTAATATAACATCATCAGCTGATGACGTTGTTCAGAAGAACGATGAAAGCTCCACAACTAAACCATCCAGCTCAGAGAACAAAACTCATTCAAAATCTACTCCACCATCTCAAAATAGTTTACTTTTTACATTTCTCATAATACATTCAATGATAAACATTACGAAGCACTAGTTTTTACATTCTCTAATCCATTTTACACTAAACTAATAACTTTTATATGAAATTAAATAAGATGTAACTCAACATGTAGTCTTATAAAATATGTATCAGTAGAAATCAAGTATCTATGGGCAAGGTTTCCATTGTGAACTTTATAGATTATAGCAAGTTCAAAATCACAACATGTTACTCAATTCTACTCTCAAACAAATTTCATACAGTTAGTTTCCTTAACAAATTATTCAATTTATTACGGAGGAGAATTGGAATTATGTTTCTGTTCATTTTTATTAATCAGAAGAGAAAACAACATGTTAATAGGATTAATGAGTAATGGTACTCTAGGACCTTGATATCTATGTAACAAGACTCGAATATACAAAATGGTTATAGATGATTTTACTAAAGATTTTTTCCAGTTAGAACTACCGAATAAGCAATAAAGGATTTTAAATATAAAGTTTTAGAAAAGAAGATAAGTCAGTTGAAAGAGATTATCAACTTAAACTAACTGATGTGCAATTAATTGTGTTGCGTAATCCAAACGATAAAGAATTTTTATTCTGTTAAAATCTCAATAAGCTTCAATGAGACTATAGTTGTTATTCACTTATATTATATCAATTGTATTATTATTCCAGTCAATAACTTTCAATGAACTCACACGATCCTTAATTAACAATTACGAATAACTTTAATATAGACTATACTTTTTTAATAGTTAGGACCATGAGTCAGTTGAAGCTAGACCATCATGGAAAACTTGGAGGCACTGGACGGTCATTTCGTCCTATTGTGGAACTCCTCAGCAGTGCACATCCACGATCCTGCCTTGCGAGATTCAAACCAGGGCTTACAGGTTCTTCATGGTCGTCTAGCTTCAACTGACTCATGATCTCAACTATTAAAATTACTATAATATCCATAAACCTCTTCTGATAATATGTTTTTTGTTTACTGAATGAAAAACCTTGTCCTATATAAATAATTGCAATTCTACATAACTTGTTTCACAATTATTTATTTGGCAGTATGAAAACCTTTGCTGTGATAAAAACAGTAAGTTTTCTTTCATTCATAACCAATTATTTCCTTAACAAACCATTTATAGTGTTATCATTGAGTAAATTTTCCCATCACTTTTTACGTTGAAAATTAAAACTTATTTACTTAATTACGCCTGTTACTCCCAATAGAGCATAGGTCGCCGACCAGCATTCTCCAACCCACTCTGTCCTGGGCCCTCCTTTCTAGTTCTATCCAGTTGTTGTTCATTCTTCTCATGTCTGTCTTCGTTTCTCGGCGTAATGTTTTCTTTAGTCCTCATCTTCTCCTGTGACACTGAGGATTCTAAGTGAGGGCTTGTCTTGTGAGCTACTAACGTTTTAATAGGACTTAATAGTTTATTCATTTTATGACCAATTAACTCAAATCATCTCTAAAATTCGTTTAAAGTAACGAGATTAATCATATTAACATTACAGGTTTGTGGAGACTGAATTTCAAAGAAATCATCAACCGATCAATAGTAGACCATCATTGAAAACCATGAAGCATTAGACGAATGTTTCGTTCTAGTATGGGACTAATCGACCATGCATAACCACGATCTCACCAGCAGGAATCGAACTTAAAACCTTCGGTTTCGCGCCCAAACCCTTAACCTCTTGATCACGGAGCCAACATCAAATGGAGTTAATGTCTAAATTTAACCAGTCCAAGATATTGAGCGACCGTCTTCCATTTTCTTAGTTGAATTAGTGCCTCACACTGAATATAGATTATATCCACTGGTCATAGCTTCCCACTACCCCGAATAAACAAGGAGCTGCATTGATGCTGTCCAAACAAGCGCAAAATGCGCGTATAGGATAGGAATCTCATGGACCAAGGATCACCAAGGCCTCGTTCAAAACAAAAAAGGAGGGCATTACAATGAATATCATCCAATGCTATGCGCTTACCAACGACTACAATGAAGACGCTAAAGATCAATTCTACAATAGGCTGCAGTCAATCGTCGATAAGTGCCAAACAAAGGACCTGACCATTCTGATAGGAGATTTCAACGGCAAGGTTGGAACGGACAACACTGGATATGAAGACATCATGGGACGACATGGACTGGGAGAAAGAAACGAAAATGGTGAGAGATTTGCAAACCTATGTGCCTTCAATAAACTGGTCATAGGTGGCACCATATTCCCACATAAACGCATCCACAAAACCACATGGACTTCACCGGATCACACCACGCAAAACCAAATCGACCATATTTGCATCAACAAAACGTTCAGGAGGACTATAGAGGACGTGAGAACCAAGAGAAGAGCTGATATAGAATCAGATCATCACTTGCTGGTCGCCAAGATGAAATTGAAACTCAAGAAGCACTGGACAATGGGGCGGACAAAATCACAAAAGTTCAATACGGCCTTTCTTCAGGATACTAACAAACTCAACAAATTTAAGATAGTCCTCAGCAGTAAGTTCCAGGCCTTTCATGATCTACTCAATGGAGAAGGAACTACTGTGTAGAGCAACTGGAAGGGGATCAAAGAGGCAATCACTTCAACATGTGATGAGGTCCTGGGTCACAAGAAGCACCATCACAAGGAATGGATCACTATTGATACACTGGATAAGATTCAAGAAAGGAGGAACAAGAAGGCAGCAATCAATACCAGTCGAACAAGAGCAGAAAAAGCCAAGGCACAAGCTGAATACACAGTAGTAAACAAACAAGTGAAGAGGAGCATCAGAAGTGAAGAACGTAACTATGTGGAAGATTTAGCAAAGACGGCGGAAAAGGCTGCAAGAGAAGGGAACATAAGACAACTGTATGACATAACAAAGAAACTCTCTGGAAATTGTCGCAAACCAGAACGACCAGTGAAAAGCAAGGAAGGCGAGGTAATCACCAACATTGAAGAGCAACAAAACAGGTGGGTAGAACACTTCAAAGAACCAGCTCCACTGAACCCACCCAACATCGAAGCAGCACCCACGGACCTCCCAATCAACGTTGGCCCACCAACAATTGAAGAAATCAGCATGGCCATCAGACAAATCAAGAGTGGCAAACAAAGCAGCAGGACCAGACAACATTCCAGCAGAGGCACTAAAAGCAGACGTAGCGGTAACTGCAAGGATACTCCACATTCTCTTCAATAAGATTTGGGATGAGGAACAAGTACCAAAAGACTGGAAAGAAAGATTCCTGATAAGAAAACCGAAAAAAGGCGATCTCAGCAAGTGTGATAACTACAGGGGCATCACCGGGAAAAGTCTTCAACAGAGTATTGTTAAACAGGATGAAGGACTGCGTAAACGCCCAACTTCGTGACCAACAGGCAGGATTCCGTAAGGATAGATCGTGTACAGACCAAATCGCAACTCTACGGATCATTGTGGAACAATCAATTGAATGGAATTTATCACTCTACATCAACTTCATTGACTACGAAAAGGCATTTGATAGCATGGACAGAACAACACTATGGAAACTTCTTCGACACTACGGCATGCCTCAAAAATAGTCAATATCATACAGAGTTCATATGATGGATTACACTGCGAAATCGTACATGGAGGACAGTTGACAAAGTCGTTCGAAGTGAAGACCGGTGTTAGGCAAGGTTGCTTACTCTCACCCTTTCTCTTTCTCCTGGTGATCGACTGGATCATGAAGACGTCAACATCTGAAATGAAGCACGGGATACAATGGACATCTAAGAAGCAGTTGGACGATCTGGACTTCGCAGATGATCTGGCTCTTCTATCCCAAACGCAACAACAAATGCAGGAGAAGACGAACAGTGTAGCGGCAGCCTCAGCAGCAGTAGGTCTCAATATACACAAAGGGAAGAGCAAGGTTCTCCGATACAACACAGCATGCACCAATCCAATCACAATTGACGGAGAAGATTTGGAAGATGTAAAAACCTTTACATATTTGAGCAGCATCATTGATGAACATGGTGGATCTGATACAGATGTGAAGGCGCGGATCGGCAAAGCAAGAGCAGCATATTTACAAGTGAGGAACATCTGGAACTCAAAGCAACTATCAACCAACACCAAGGTCAGGATTTTCAATACAAATGTCAAGACAGTTCTACTGTATGGGGCGGAAACCTGGAGAACTACGAAAGCCATCATCCAAAAAATACAGGTGTTTATTAACAGTTGTCTACGCAAAATACTTCAGATCCGTTGGCCGGACACTATTAGCAACAACGTACTGTGGGACAGAACAAACCAGATCCCAGCGGAGGAAGAAATCAGGAAGAAGCTCTGGAAGTGGATAGGACACACATTGAGGAAAGCACCCAACTGCGTCGCAAGACAAGCCCTCACTTGGAATCCTCAAGGCCAAAGGAAAAGAGGAAGACCAAAGAACACATTACGCCGGGAAATGGAAATAGACATGAAAAAGATTAACAAAAATTGGATGGAATTAGAAAAGGATGCCCAGGACAGAGTGGGTTGGAGAATGCTGGTCGGCGGCCTATGGTCCATTGGGAGTAACAGGCGTAAGTAAGTAAGTAAGTAAGTATAGCTCCCCACTAGGTTTCCAAAAATTTTCTCTCGATGTTCATCACAAATGAGCATACGATAACTTTCAGTATGAGATTGTGGAGATTGCTGAATTTCATTCCAAGTTTTCACTGATTGTCCAACTTAATGAAATTTATCATTTTTATTAAGTTCGACAAATTTCAAGTGTCAAATAACTCGTCAGCGACTTTATAATAAAGGGGACGAAATGACTGTCCAGTGCTTCCAGGTCTTCCATGGTGGTCTAGCTTCAATTGACTCACGATCTCAACTATTAAAATTACTATAATATCCACAAAACCCCTTCTGAAATTAATAGTGAATTTTTTATACCCTGTTCGCCCGAATTTAATCAATAATAAATCCATATTTGTGTACAGTTGAATGATCTTCAAAAACTTTATTATCACAATAGGCTCATCACAATTTAATGTTGAAATCCTTAACTTTTCACCAAGAAACATGCTAAACACTCCAAAGAATTTCGGTCAGTTCAAATCTCTATTTGGACACCTAGAATAAAACTGTCTGAAAAATTAAAACATGGTCGATAGCATTCGATCTGCATTAAATAAGGACTTGACACACATGACATTGATCACCACCCAGTGATTAATCAATTGTGATTACATTTCAGTTCTACAGGAGATCGATCGCGGCCCGGATAGCTCAATGGTAACGTCTCTGACTGTGAAGCTGGGTGACACGGGATCGAATCCGCCAGTAAGCACCAGTTCCCTCAAGATTACAGGTACACCTTGCTGACGGGTGCCAATAAGTACAAAACCCGGGTCCAAGGTTTCCTGTCGACTACCTCCAACCACCATCTAAACTTAAGACATTTCAAATACTACGAAGTCATTGGAATTGATTTAATATGACTACTAACTTTTAAGAGATTGAGTCTTCAACGGACACAATACAGTTAGGTTAATTAAACAAAATGATTATATGGTTTCTAACTAATTCCATTTCTTGATATAGAAATGCCTTCAAATTAGACCGAAATTTTTATTTTATTTTTTAAAAATTCAAATTTAATAAGAACAAGTGTACGCTCATCAATATGCTGATCGTGATATATTTTCGAGGTTTTCAATGAAATCCATACTCAACACAAAATGAAGCTCGTGCTACACAGAATATTGATTAGCTCTAGTAAACATGGTTTATCGTGGCTCTTCCACTTCACATCAGCTTTATTCATTTAAAGCTGAAATTAGTTTACAATAGATTTTTAACGTTAAATTACATCAGACTGTCACAGGATCAATGAAATCAATTAAAATGTTTATTTCTCTAAACTTTGAAAACTAATCTAACATTATTAGAAAAGATTACATCGTAAATCGATTCAAGACTTTTATTATCAAATGAGGTTGCGTACTAATCAAGGGGTAAGGAATAAAATAATTTGTCAGTCAGATATGAAGAACAACAAGCACAAAGGTCATAATAATAAACTGAATAATAATTTAGCAAAATTGTATAATTTTAAT